ACTGGTCAGAGACCAGAAGAGCTTATGCGATAGTCCGTCTGCTTGTCTGTTTGTCTGTCCGTCTGTAAACAATTTTTCAAAACGCTACCCCTCCTACAGTTTTGGTCTGATATCAATATAACTTGGCACACAAGTAGACTATAATAAGATACATAATTCTGTGTATCGGTTTTTGATTTCGATGAATGGTGTTGCCATGGTCACTAAAAATAGAAATTTCTGTGAAATACTTTCAAAACGCTACTCCTCCTACAGTTTTGGATCGAGTTCAGTATAACTTGGTACACAAGTAGAACTACACTAAGATACATAATACTATTTATAGGTTTTTGATTTCAATGAACGGTGTTGCCATGGTTACTAAAAATAGAAATTTTCTTGGAAATACTTTCAAAACGCTACTCCTCCTACAATTTTGATCCGATTTCAATATAATTTTGCACACAAATAGACTACAGTAGATACATAGTTATTTTTATCCGTTTTTGATTTCGATGAACGGTGTTGCCTTGGTTACTAAAAATAGAAATTACCTTGAAATACTCTCAAAATCATACTCCTCTTACAGTTTTGGTCTGATTTCAGTATAACCTGATACACTAGTAGACTACACTATGATACATAATTCTCTCTGTTAGTTTTGGATTTCAATTAACAGTGTTGCCATGGTTACTAAAAATAGAAATTTTCTTGAAATACTTCCAAAATGCTACTTCTCCTACACTTTTTGTCTGATTTCAGTATACAAGTAACTCGACATACAAGTAAACTACACTGAAATACATAATTGTCGTTATTGTTTTTTTTATTTTGTTGAATGATGTTGCCATGGTTACTTAAATCGAAATTTTTGCAAAATTGTTTTAAAAGGCTACCCCTCCTTCAGTTTTAGTCTGATTGCAATAAATCTTGCCACAAAAAGAGATCATACCAAGGATCATTATTTTATTTATTGCTGTTGCAAAGTTTCACGTCCAAGTGCTACTTTTATCTTCTTTTATAAATACAACCAGTAGAGCTTTAGTCTAATCAGAGACTTCTGGTTTCTTGTCAAGGTCATTTTTAAAGTCCCATTGTATCAACAATTAAATCCCCCAAACAGAGCATTTAGATAAGGGAATAAATCCCACAGAATTCAATGACGATATGCATTTTTTAAGATATTTTCTTTTGAATATCATTTTAAAATTTCAGGATCAAATACGTAATATAAAGGACTGTTAATTCATTAAACCAAAATAAGTCTTTTTACATGAATCGACTAGAAGAATACATCAAATGAACTTGTCCAAATGGAGTCCTATTTATGACGATTCATTTAATGGCTCATAAGGAACTTCTATATTACTATTCAGAAAAAAAATCATTATAACTTTAAAGAGGATTTTAAAAGATATACAGGGTGTTACATTTTTAAATCTAATTATTTTTCTTACCTACGTATCATTTTTTACATCAAATCCTGCATTTTTATTCCATGTGAAAAAGTCAAGGAAATCATGTTAATACAATGATTAACTGTGACATAAACGCCAATGTCATATTTTGAATATTTTTCGAAATGGGCTCATCAACATATTGCTGATTGTAAAGCTGTTTTTTTTTTTTCAATACATGTAGCCAATATTCATTCAGAAGTTGATGAAGGAAATATTCCAAAAGAATGGAAGCTTTTTAGGATGTTTATCAGAAGGCTAGTAACAAGGTTAAAGGACAGAGGCGGACAATATGCGATAAATGACACGGGCACTCCAGAAAGCCTAAGGACTTCAAGAACCGACGACGATTTAATTGATGAAGTGAAGACTCTTATAGATAGTTTAGCAAACTCCTGAGAAAAGTGTCTGACGGATGTTTTCAGAAATTGATGCTGGCAACATCAGCATTTCCATCATATAATGTACTTTGAAATATGATGTGAAGTTATCAGCGTACAAATTTTCAATATAATGCCATACCCCAAGAAAAGAGTTTGATCTTTGCATTCACCATTCTCAATCTTTGGGCCTTTTTCTGTGGGTGTTCCTTAGGAACAGGGTCTACAATCCTAGACCACAGATACTGAATGACCTCAAAAGAAACAAGCCTTCAAATGAGGAGTGTCTAAGCAAAAATGTGTGACAAGGTTATACAAATTTCGAGAAGCAACTTTCATTTGTAGGTGTAATAGTGGAGATCATTAAGAACATGTAATGTGGGCTTTTGACGGTGTGAAATTCAAAGTAAAAAAAAATGACGTAATTTAGAAATTTCACTAATTTTCATTAACGTTTGAGATTTCCTCCAGTGTTATATTTTAGTTGGTAATTGTACATAATGAATCTTATGGATGCATGCATCAAATTGATAAAAACACTATCTTTTTCTTGTGTTTGTCAAATTGAAGATTCAAGATGTAACATATATTATGAAACACCCTGTACTTTCTTTTATGTTTAATTAAAGCTGAACTTACATGTATTTTGCAATTAAAAGCAATTATATATATATATATATATATATATATATATATATATATATATATATATATATATATATATATATATATATATATATATATATATATATATATAAATTTATTTATTTATTGCAGATTCCCTATTAATCAAACAAACAACAGATATTATTTTGCTTGTTTAATTTGGCGCTTCTGGCCGCGTTGATCAATTTGCTGGGGCTACCACAGGGCTGCCCCACAATCAACAATCAATACAACAAATGTGACGACCCAAATCGGGCGGATCATGCACTGGGTAGGTCACAAGTGCATGAACGTCACCAATTCAATTATCAATCAAGTTCAATCAATCAAATTCAATCAATCAATCAATTCAATATCAATCAAGTCAACTGCTTGTCAATTACAAGCCAATGCACAAATTCAAATCCTGAATTTCAATTTACATGTGCAATAGGATAAACAATGGAATGAGCGTAAGAATATGTGTTGCACTCCTCCAGTTGCGTTGAGGTGCGACGGAATACGCAAACACACAGAATTACCACCGCGACATCGGTTGAAGTGGACGCTGTACCCAGCAGGCAGTCATCACGGAATACGCAAACACACAGATTTCACCACCTTCACATAGGCTGATGTGGACGCTGGATCAATCAGGCTGTATTTACGGAATACGCAAACACACAAAATTCACCATCGCCACGTAGGCTGATGTAGGTGCTGGACCAAGCAAGCTGTCCTTACGGAATATGCGAACACACATAATCCACCACCGCGACATAGGCTTTTGTGGAAGCTGGACGAAGCAAGCAGTCTTCAGCTACAATGACATAACAAAAAGCAGCAGTATTTGTTCTAAAAACAAGAGGAGGGTGGGTGGGTAAAATTTAAAACATTGCCACAATTTAACTCCCAAAAATTTTCCATGACCTTACCGTTTAATCGATTCTTTGAGAAAGGAGGTAGAAGAGAACTTACTATTAGACTATATACGAATGGACCTCAATTATCCGGAATGATAGCTTGTGACTAAGGGTGAAAATCTATATTTATCCGAATGTACGTAACTTATACGGAATAGATAAATATTACTAGGGTTACTGAAATAAACTCACTTATCCGAGACCAGGCTCGTATAAGTGGTAATATATATATATATATATATATATATATATATATATATATATATATATATATATATATATATATATATATATATATATATATATAACACTAAAAACCAACAACACTGTATATCCTAAGTGTCGGATCTATTAAGTAGATACAAGGTCACGGATGGAAATTTATGTAAAGCACTAAAATGACCAACGACACGAACAATAAAATTATTGTTTGTGTCGTTGATCATTTTAGTGGTTATATATATATATATATATATATATATATATATATATATATATATATATATATATATATATATATATATATATATATATATATATATATATATACAAAAAGACAGAGAGAGTTTTAATCATAGTTAATGAAATATGAAAGAGGGATCATCAGGTGCAATGGATGAGTAAGCATCCCCTGTATCCAATCACACCCATCATGAGCTCTTTGCCATGATTTGGTAAACAGAGAAATCTGTACACTTCAGTATGAAAATTATGGCCAAACTATTTCTATGAAAGATATCAGTCAACATTCGACCTTACGATACATTATGTTTAATTGCAAAGAAAGTAATTCAATCGACCATAGAATTTTTTTGAAAATGTTGTCCTCAAAGGAGATTGTAGGTACCCTTTGTATTTTTTTTACTCTTGTATTATCAACTAATTTGTTCTTTTTTTCTTCGCATCAGCTGATTTATGTTTTTAATAGTTTAGTTTTATAATCTGTTTTTATCTTATACATACGTCCTGATAGACAGTGATACAGGCAGCCAAATATGAACCTTGTGATATACTTTATCTGGCGTACGTAGTAAAGTTCTGAAAGCAGACCACGTAGATTGTAAAGTACATGTACATATAAATATTATACACTCTGTGAACTACATGTACAAATATTATAACGTGTACCGAGTACAGAAAAACTAATTTTAGCTCGCAGTTGACACACTTACAACAACGTTAGACAAACGATAACTATAAACCTTTACACATTTCATAAAACTAAGCTGAAATTCTGATACATTCGCGTTATTAAATACAGCTCATCCAATTCTGCGCAGACACCTGAATCCGCGGATTAAAGATACGCGATAAACCTGAATAGAGAGCATTTTTATGGGCTAATTACTGCCGGATTACAAAATATGTCCATTCTTCGTGGTCCTAAGCTCCTTTCCGCTGGCTTTGCGTTCTTCCAGCTACTGGCAGACGATCTCGTGCCAGTGTTCTTCAGCTGCGATCGCAACATCGAACTATCCCAAAATACAACAGCTGATGCAACAATACTATACTAACTAAAAATAGCATAGCAGATTATCCTAACAATATTCAAAGGAAGATTCATAATGTATTTCATACTTTATATTCAAAAAGGTAGTTTAAAAAACGAAGGTCATTCAAATCAAAAAGGCTTGATTTACAAACTAGAAATTTTTATATCTTGATTTATTAATTTATTACGAATTAAAATATATAACGTGATGTAACAATTACATGTATATATATTTTCATTTTTGTGCAGCCAGGAACAAAATCAGTTCTGACGTTGCTTTAATTTGATAAACTCTGATCTTCATGAATAGAATTAAGTACTGCGCGATCGTAGGTGTCATTCAAATTCTGGTTAAGATGTGAAGCTCCATATTCACTCTCCAACCCCATAGTGTAGTCGTAAGTATCATGAGAGAAATTTTGTCTTAGACCAAATTGATTGTCTAACATGTGATTATAAAGATCATCATTACTTGACGTCATAGTACTGTGTATTTTGTAGGGTTGTGCAGCTCCATATTCACTTTCCGAGCCTGTAGGGTGGTCATAAGTATCATTCGATAAATTTTCTTGTAGACCATATTGATTGTCTAACATGTGACTATACACTCCATCTTTCGTTGACGTCATGGTATTGTTTACTTCGTGGAGATGGTCGTAATCTTCTTCCAATAAGTTGGGATTCATCGTATTTTTTTCAGTTGACAATGATTCTTGATGCCAACCTGTGTTTGCTAAGGTTGATAATTCTAAAGAGGAAATGTCTTTGTGCTTCTCAGTATCCTTCCTCCTATTAAGATACAAATATGCAATTGCAAAAATCATTCTGAATATATATTGCCCACTTCATATATCAGAATTCCTGGTTAGACTGCATGTCTAGGCTTTCTCTTACCGTTTATGAAGAATGACAATCCCAAAAGTGACTGCAATAAAGATGAATAAAGAGGCAACAAGGACAGGTACCATAACCATTAATGTTTCTGGGATGTGGAATGGCAAGGAAAAATCAAATATCACTTACTAGTATTATATAAATAACAATATTGGGATTATATATATATATATATATATATATATATATATATATATATATATATATATATATATATATATATATATATATATATATATATATATATATATATTACCGCTAGATCCACCACTTAAAAAATCGTCGAAAGTGAGATTTCCTTTCTTCATATATGCCTTGCATTTTTGGGTTGAATTTAATTTGTCTGGAGAAATAAAGCGTGATTTAAATTGATAATCAATCAAGAATCAAATAATCTATATGACTGTTGTATATTGTCATTATTATTCAATGTAATTGCAGGTCAACTTGTTTTTCTAGTTTATCAGATGTTTATTTTGATAATCGAGAAAAAGGTTTCTTTTACTAGAGGCGGGAACTTTTAATTTGCAATTCTTTATATAAAACTTTTTAATAAGATAAATCAAGTGATAAGAAGTAAATATTATACTTGAGAAGGAGAAGAAAATAATGTAACCACATAAATAGCTTGTAGATTGTATAATCAAATCAAGAATTAGCAATGGGTGCTAAGGCCACAAAGCTCACCTGAGTTATCTAGACCGTGCTTCTTTCAGAAGATTTTTAAAAGGAAATTTATCTTCTACTTGTATACACCCTGAAATATCAATTCTGCGGCGCACGGCCAGTAGCTCAAAGCGGTTTTAACTTAACTAAATTTGAATCCAAACGACATGCGGATTTTGAACATTAATATAACTAACAGGATATTTCTGTTCTTAAGATTAAAACAAAATTTGTTTTGTTATATACATGTATTCCTATTATGTAAAATTTGAACACTGGTTTCAACCCAACACTAACTTTATTGTCCATTATTTGAAGGGACTTAAATTAACGCGCCGTTAGAACATTTGTTTCTCAATATCACACTATCAAATATATGAATCTGTAGTATATAGAATAGCTAGAATGTTTTAACATTATAATAAAGTTATTGTTCTTTCGTAGAAAATTCATTTTTACTAAATTTTTATATGTGTATATTCTAATTTAAAACTTTGATCCGGGGGGAAGGGGGGGGGGGCAACCCTATCCCCAAAGACACTGTATTAAACTAGAATCTGCACAACCTGATGAAGTATGCATAATGCCAAGACTAAAAATAATGTTTTTTTGTGGAAAATATCTTCAAAGGTTGCTCCATATAAAAAGCGATCCCGTATTGAGATCCCATTGCCAATGCTATAAGTCTCTGTACCAAGGAAATTTTTGCTCTTATTTTCTCAGTGATCTCTCATTAGTCATAATTTTGTTGCATATTTATCATTTAATAAATGACAATTCTCACTCAATATTGTTTGTCTTTGTAATGCTTCAACTACAAACTAGGCAATAGCCTAGCCAGATCACAAGGATTATATAATTGTATTTTTGTCTTGATTCTCAAATAGGAATTTTTTTTATATTAATAAGAAAGATTATTCGTATATTATATTCATATACAATTTTCAAAATTATTATTGAATTTGAATGATATGATATTTATTGCTCTTCATCTCAAGGAAAGTTCTAGTTTAAATTTCAAAGTTACATACTAAATCAAAGTATGAAACTAAAGAAGTAAAGAATTAAAGTATCTATTATGCTGAACTAGAGTGATATTTTGTTATGGAACATCTCTACTGTCGGACGACGGACAGATTTTCATCAGAAAAGATCATCGGAGCCTTTGGCACGGATGAACTAAAATGTATTAATTAACAATAACGTATGATGCATCTCCTCACAAATTCAATATATTATTTAGAGAAATTTGTCTTTTGTAAACTCGTAATTTCATTTTTCGAAATATGTCAAGTATAAAGCAAGATCTATCAAAAGAACATAAACGACTTAAAAGAAAGTTAAAGATGATAATCTCTGATCAAATACTTAAATCTAAACTATATTATCTATTATCATTGTAAGTAGACGAACCTGATTCGCAAGCAAATGGTCTTGAATTATTTAATTTAAAATCTTCCCAAACTGTAGAAATGATGTCGTTTGTTGTTCTCAGCAGCCTCACCAATGTAGGGTTTCTTCCCCGATCTGTTATAATCAGATTATTGTCAGAAAGTATCTATTGTTCACATTTGATACCATACCGATGCCTTTTGTAATGTCTCTTGTGTTAAACAACATCACTCGGCAATTTTTTTATACACATAAACATCACAGGTTATCAAAGTAAATATTTTCATCAAGCTTTTTTCATTACCAATGATTTTTTATTTTCATGTTTAACATGTGTGTGTAATACAATGTCAATAATTTAGCTGATTGTTGCATGTAGAATTGTTGAAGCACATATGAGAATGGAGTTTTTTAATGCTATTTCTCCAAATGTTTAGCATACCATCTGTGCCTGAATACATTTTCCTTGCTCTGATTACACCCATCCATCTCTCTGGACCGTCCAGCCAACAAGTGGTGTTTCTGATCTGATCTATTGCTACAGGATATGTGTTCATGATTCTGGTACATTTCTGACTGGCACTCTTCCAGTTCCTTAGTAAATCTCCCAAAACAAAGGATATGAATAAAAAAAAATAATTTACCCTTAAAATGAAATATAAAGAAAATACCAAAAATGATCAATAAATCCAGGCAACAGCAAACAAAATATGATTCAATAACACATTTTTTGATAGAGCATATAAATAGAAAGAAGAATTTTATATAACTAATAATGTCAAAATAAAAAAAAAGTTCTAAGTGGAGTTTTATGAAGAGACTGACTTTTACAAATGACGACTGACTTTTACAGTTTAAAGGGACCAACTCCAAACATGAAAAAGGTGTAATAGGTGTCTATTCAATAACAAACATTAAAACATATGATTAGCGTTTTGTTTTCGATAGATTGAGAAATTTTAACAATGATTACACATTATCAACAAATATCTGGGTATGTTGAATAAGTCTTTTTACAGCGACCGAGCGCTCTGTTGTACATACATGACAAAATACAAAATGCGCATTTAAGTGGTAAAATTTATCGTTTGATTAGCTGCAGATGTGTAGCTCGCTGGTCTGAAAAAAAAATGTAGATGGACGACCTGAGTGCTACAGTGCCACCCATTGAAAAAAGTGTATTAATATTTATTGCGTACGAAAACATGCGGTTTCCCGATTTATTTCTCCATATATATATCAAAATATTACTTACCGTGTGTTCCTAACATATTCTTTTACTACTTCCACAACAAAACTGTATGTACAAGTCATGTACGAAGCGCCTTGGACCGAATTTTTTGTCTTGCCACCCAAAGTGGGAGTATAAATAGGGGAAATTTTCGATGGTCTCATTTTCAGGTCCACGAGGACTATTAACAACGGATTTGCGGAATGTTTTGATGAGGAAATAGTTAAAAAATATGTTAAGAACACACGGTGTGTAATATTTTGAGATGGCGCTTAAATATACGGAGAAATAAATCTAGAAACAGCGCACTTTTTTGTGCGAAATAAATATACACTTTTTTCAATGGTGGAACTGTAGCTCTCTGGTTCTACATCCCATTTTTTTTTCAGATCAGCGAGCTACAGTTCTGCAGCTATCGTTTGAATGGAACATTTGGGTCTTTCTTATCGAACGTCAGTTGTTAAATAATGACACGCTCATTTCGTTAGAACTGAGAAAGTAATATTCGTCACAGGCACCTGAGGAGTGGGTACCCCCCCCCCCTCCCCCGAATTAAAAAAAATAGTAAGAGTCAATATTTTTTAAAAAATATGAGATTTCCACGTCAATTACACCCATATTTCGTTTTATGCCCATCGTGTTAGTGTAAAAATACACTTTATTATACCGTGCATTGCCAATCTCTAAAGGTGAGGAAAAAAAGTACAATCTGTTTGTATAAAACGTAGTATGAGAGTGGTTGACGGGGAAATTTCAAATTTTTGAGAAATTATGGGCTCTTCATTTTTTTTTTCAATTATGGGGCACAGGCACTTGGGGTATAATCCCCCCCCCTTTTTTCATTTTTTTTCTTTTTAAATCTGGCTAGTGCATATCAACAAAATTTACCCTAGATGCGGGTGATTTAATCGAAATATTTACAAATCGTGGGCACATAAAAAATTAAATGGAAATATAAAAGGGAAGAAGAATGTGTAACAAATTTATTGATGTATGCATATTCCATGTGTTCTTATGCTTTAGATAAATAATCAGACGAAGTTTGAGCGAGGTGAGGCAGACGACGAGAAAAGAGTTGCAAGCCTTCTCTCTTTTTATGTATCAGTCGAAAACGGTATATTTAAAAACAGCATATAGAGACAAACGAGTTACATTATTGATAACATAACAGACGTTTTCAAAACTTAAATTTTATTGAATTTACAAATGTTATTTTGTTAACTAAAGCGAATTACAAGCATAGAAATTCATAAATAGACCAAGAAAATGTTCATTAACGAGAGTTGTTTTAGCTTTACTGTCAGTGTTTCATGCGTACTACATGTATGCACTCTCTGTAAAAAGACGAGCTCAAGTTATCCTGATATTTGTAAATTATAATGTGTTATCAGCCCTGAAGTTTAAAAGTTCTCACTGAATTGACACCTATTAGATGTTTTTCATGTTTGGAGTAGATCCCTTTAAATTGTAAAAGTCAGTCGCTGATTGTAAAAGTTAGACTCTTCGTAAAACTCCAGTACCAATAAAAAGACTTTTTATCTTTATTTATATAATTTATTTCTTTATAGATACATGAACTTAAAGCCAAGATTTCTTATTTCTTTTATATATATATATATATATATATATATATATATATATATATATATATATATATATATATATATATATATATATATATATATATATATATATATATATAAAAGAAATAAGAAATCTTGGCTTTAAGTTCATGTATCTATAAAGAAATAAATTATATAAATAAAGATATATATAAATTATATATATATATCCTTCTTGACTTGCTCTGTTGCTATCTGCGTTTTTAGAATATTTTTTTCAATATTCAGTATTAAAGATAGAGAATCAAAAACAATTAATTCACTAGTTCACTTACTTTCGTCAATGATCCTGATCTGTATATTGTCGATAGCAATACCACTGTCAACTCCCTGTCCCCTTTTTGCCTCTATATAAACCTGGTATGAGGAAACATATGACAACAACAGATAGACTTAAAAATGAAATTGACGATTTTGTTTCATGACATACTAATATTCGATGATTTATCTTTAAATATTCTTTGCTTCTTGTTAAAGGCAGAGATGTTTTACCGGGTGGTAAATTCCAGATGAGGGAGGGGCTTATTTTGTACAGGTGTGAATGCCTTGAGGGCTAGCAGTCTATCTGTGGTCATTTGTCTCCTAATCCCTATACACAGGAAGTGATTGAATACATAGTACAGTACCCAAGAAGTCAAACTTTACCTGTGTTGGGATTTTGAGATGATTTTAAATTAGAAATAAAAAGTTATAAATAAAGTTTAATCTCGATATTTTTTTAATTAATTTGTTATTGAATGTGTGTCAAAGCATCCCCACCCATTAAAAAATATTATTATTCAAATTATTTGTTGAGCTTTGAAAAAAAGTTATACCAAATTTTGATATATATTATCATAAAGAATATCACCATTATTTCAAATACTAAAGGTGTGTATGAATATATTATCAAGCTAAAAATTCTATAGTAATACAGCTTCTCTATTGTTTATACCATGTGTGGTAAATATCAAAGGATCAAAAGTTAATTTAAAGGTCAACACGAGTGCCAAACAAAGTGTACAGGGTATACACAGGGACTAGTAAGTAAACGCCAATCAAGTTCTAGCATCCAATGATGTACCTTTATGCACCTTATCACCCCCTCTGCTCTTTAATTCTTGATAATTTCTGCAGTTCAAATTTTGTTCAATTATCAGGTACAAATAAAGTAAAAATTTACAATTAACACATTTTGTAGCATTTTCTAAAAAATATAAAATATTTAAGATACACTTATTTCTCAATAACATTCTAACAAAAAAAATTCTTTTGTTGTGAACGTTATGTCGAACTTATCATACATATGTATATTTATTATTTTGATAACTTTAACGTACATACATGTGATACATAATACAAGTAAATATATTTAAGGAAGAAATAATTACTGTCAAACCTTTGATTTTTTTGTAACTTTTGTGACGTTAGTAAAAATATTCCAAGAATTGCCTTGATTGCCACTTAAATCAAATAGTGTCGTTTCTATGTTATTGTCATTTTTTAGGTACAGCCTTAGACGTCCTGTGTATTCACCATACATGTGATACAGCAAGCTTATGTTTACAGACACATCTGCAAAATAAACATGTAGCTGTGAATCATAATATATATATATATATATATATATATATATATATATATATATATATATATATGCCAAGTCTTCTTGATGAAATCTTTTGAATTTTGTTTTGTTATAATATGGGCGGCGGAAATGATATAAAAGACGTTAATGCAAAACGAACAATTTCCCCAAAAACGAACTGAAATACAAAACAAAAAGCTTTAAATAAAATCAACACTCAACTGCAAAATCAACAGACTCCGTTGCAATGATCATTCATTCACTGAATTGACACTAGCTAGATGGCGCGCAAAAACAGCGCGCGAGTACAAAATTATGGAAAGCCAAATTGTTCAACTCTGTTATTTCTTAAAGTACATGGAAACCTTAATTAGTAGATTGTAATTTGTAATTTTTGCAATTTATACTACATGTATCACAACTTTGTGAAAAAAACCTATTCTGTGCAAAATGTACAAGAAAACTATGTCAATGCACAACATTGTATTCGAGACCTGCGATTTGTCAACCCTTGAAATGTAAAATTTATTACGTAACATTAAGCTAACGGCCATAAGGTACAATGACTTTATCATAAATAAACATCATAGCTGCAGTATCATATGATTTTTTACTGAAATTTTATTCTACTCAATTGTTCTTTTATTTTTCATAATGAACACCATGCGCGGATCTAGAGGGGGTCGGGGTGGGGATCTGGACATAGTTTTCTTGTACATTTTGCACAGGAAAGTTTTACAAGTTGTGATAATACACTTTGCATAAAAAATACAAATTTACAATCTACAAATTAAACTATCTACAAATTAAACTGCGTCTCCATATGAGTGAAAAATTCTCGAGGGGGGCGTTAAACAACATACAAACAAACAAACAAACAAACAAATTAAACTTTACATGTACTTTAAGAAATAACGGAGTTGAACCCTTTGTCTTTCCATAATTTCGTACTCGCGCGCCATCTAGCGTTAATTCAGATAATGACTTTTTTGCGCGCCATCTAGCGTCAATTCATTGAATGAACGTTTTGCATCAGTGATCGTTTGTTTTGCAACGGAGTCTGTTGATTTTGCAATTGAGTCTGTTGATTTAAAGGACTTATCGCATGTTTCTAAATTATTTGAAATTAAAAGCGTAAAACGTTCCTTATGACCACAGTTTATAAATTTTGTGTTTTTACTGCGGATAAACAGCGGTAATTAACCAATTATTGACTCAAATGTAAACCCTTGAATTAAAAATCTAAGTTAACGATAGCGATCACGTGACCCTGTGACGATGGCTGATCAGCTCTTCACGTAAATCTTACTAAAATATACGCGATACAACCTGAATGTTCTGCGTTATGGACGACCAAAATCACTGATTTTATCGATATGAAATTTAATATCCAACCTTATATTTTAGAATTGTCACCAAGAAATAATCTGAAAAATCCGTTAACATTGTAAAAATAGCAGCGACGATAGCGAGAGAGACGCGGCGAAGACGAAGAAACTCCCCGTAACAACACAATTTGATTTGTCATTTTATCACATGTATGAACTTATTAGATTCACAAATTTAAATTACATAACTGTGTTATTCTTCGTTTTTAACATAATATTAATTATGCAAGTATGCCTTCATATGTTTTATAAAGGATGGCGGTCTTGAAAAATAATTTTCCGATCACGAAACATTGCCGTAATCAGACCTACAGATTCTAAATGTTTCGAATAAAAAACGAAAATATCTCAAAATTCTTACACCTTAGAACTAGCTAATGTTTCTACTGTAATTGAAAATCACGTTAGGAATTAATTTTTTCAGCATTTTTCATAATTAAGCTGCATTTGTCGTTGATAACTCCGTAAATAGTGTGCAACTTCTCATCTCTCTATCACTGAATTGTCGCCTATGACGTCAGAGCAGTATTTCGCCGAAATCCGACTGAAATATGCATATTGCCGTATTTGATTTTCAACTCTCAATATCTCTTAAAAAACGCTTTCAACAACGTTTATTGTATTCAGAATTTTAATAAACAAGGTTGTAGATAATATTTTTCATAAAATTAAGATTTTTGAAAAATCATGCAATAAGTCCTTTAATTTAAGCTGTTTGTTTTGTATTTCAGTCCGTTAATTGCGAAATTATTTGTTCGTTTTGCATTAACGTCTTTTTTATCCTTTCTGCCGCCCATATTATACACTTTTTTTTTAAACTTTACCTTATAAATATTTACCATATTCTCGACAAAGGAGTCAAATTACTTAGATTAAGGTTAATGAACCTCAAATAAATTATAGTCACTCCAATTTCAGTAAGAAAAATGAAAAGCTTAGAGTTCTCATCTTTGTATATTTAAATTATATAATCTTAAGTATGGAAAATTCCGGAATAAAATGTGAAACCACATTGGAAGGTAGAGTATGCGGGAAAATTATTTCCAGTTTAATTATTTGTAAACATTATTTATGGACCTAATGTTTTCCCCGAGTACTTTTAGTTAATTAGAGATAAAACGTAAGGTTAGACGTTCAGATGGATGGATAAATGTGTTATTGATTACGTTTTACATATTAATAGATAACCCAGTCATTCAGAGACAAAATTCGGTCCCTGAGATACATATCATAGTCATTCAAAAACACAACATAGACTTTAAGCAATACAACCCAGACCGTCACGGTAGCTCAGTCGGGAGAGCGCTCGCTCCGTGATCGGAAGATGTGTGATCGACTCACGACCGTGACTGACCTAAGTCGATAAAAAAAAATAGGTTAGACGTTTTTAAGTGAAAATTGCGGGTCCTTAAAAGACCTTAAAAACCGAGGCCCCGTGTCACGGTAAGCGTGTAAATTTGGCACGATAAAGAACCCTCACTGCTCAATAGCCTGAGTGTCGAGTAAAGGTCTAAATTTGAAGCCCTTCACCAGTATATGGTGTCGTCTCAATATGAGTGAAAAATTCTCGAACGGGACGTAAAACAACATACAATCAATTAATCAATACAACCCAGTCACAATACAACTTATCACAGTCAATGCAGAATAAAACAGTCCTAAAACAACATGAATAGGACACTTTACAACATATCCCAATCAATAAATAACATAAGCTTCACTTCACAACATATACCAATAAATAAACAACACAATGTTACTGAGAAACGTAACCCAGCCTGTGTACAACATACATGTACATGTAATACAGTCATTGAGAAACATAATCTAGTCACTGAGAAACATATCCTGATCAACGAAAACATACCCAAGTCACTAACAAGGATATAACTCAGCCATTATATATAAAGAACACAGATACCGAACAATATAATCCAATCACAGAACAACTTCACGCAGGCACTGTCATAAAAACCCAGTTATTGTACAACATATATCCTAGTCACTGTACAACATAACACAATCACAGAGAAACATAATCCATTCACTGAAAAACATAAACAAATCAAAAACAATATAGCCAAGACACTATACAACATAACCAAGTCATCGAACAATTTAACCTAGTCACTGAGCAACTTAACATAATCACTTAAAAACCATAACTCAGTCACTGTACAAGAGAAAACAGCCCCTAAACAATACAACCCAGTCAGTAAAAACAACATAACGCACTCAGAAAACACTATACACCATCAATGTACATGTACATATATAAGATTATGAAAGAATAAACTTATTTTCTAATCAGCTGCCTTATTCAATACTAGAGCAGTAAGTCACATTGCATACCAGTTAGTTCAAACTTTGAAATTAACACAGCTTTATCACCAGGAGCCTCATGCGATGCTTCTATGTAGCTGTAGTATTTCCCCTCGGTACTACTAACAGGTCCTGTAGCAGCTGATTTTGTTTCTCCTTTCTATTAAAAAACATAGTTTTGAATTTTATGTATATGCTTTGCTTAAATAAGTTTAAGAAAAAAGTAAAGATTTATACATCATGTCAATATTAGGTTTACATTTACAACTACATTGTAGTAAATTACTGAGAAATGCGTCTATCTCAAAACAATGTTAGCTATAAATTATACATTGAATTTCATTTTAGTAAAAAAAAAATTGTCATTAAAGATAATGAGGAGAAAAATTGAAAGGAACGCTCTTTTTAATTCCTACAAGAAATCCTAATTGGTACTGTAGATTCCTAAATATACGCGAGGAATTAATTACGCGAGGAGCACCACTCGCGAAATAAAGTTACTCGCTTTTATTTTTATGGTGTTGAAATTAATGCTAAATCTCATTGTAAATCGTCCATTCGCGAATTATTGTTCTCGAGATTTGGCGTCTAAGAGCCCTTTCGCGATATTAAGTACTCGCGTAAAATAAGGAATTTACAGTATTCAAAAATAAAGTCAATCTTTTAGATTAAGCAGAAGTCCCGACTTTGAAAAATTAAATTAAATTAGAAATAAAAAAAGCACATATAACATATACACATAGGATATTTACATAATGAATGATGGTGACAATTACCAATTTATACGACATGTGCATGAAGTGAAAACTTTCAAAAACAGATATTGGTATACATACTTGAATCTTCCAGTCAAAGTCGTCGGATTTATCCTGAACAAAACATGTATCTATATTTCCCTCAAAATTGCATTGCATATTCCCTTTCATGTATAGCAGTTTAGTGAGTGGTTCACCTGGAAAAAGAAGATGTACAAATTATACCATGAAGAGGGAGACGGGGAAAGATGAAAAAATGTTCGAGATTAGGCAGCCGAAGTATTATGGTGGATCAAAACCAAATTTTGCTAGCAAAAATTGCACAAACAATAATAAAGAATTATGTGTTAGATACCCTACATTATTCTGCAGAAATTAAAAGAACAACAAAAAGCATCTTACTGCAATTTCCCGCTATCATCGTTACATCATCTATAGCGATATTGGAATTCATCATATCTTGTTTTTTGGTCTCAAAGAAAATCTGTGTATAATGAAATTTTTTACAATGGAAATCTATGAAACAACTGAGAGGTACAACTTTAAAATGGCTGTGTAATAAAAACCCAGTTTGAGTCCAATGCTCAAATCAAATCAGGGTGTTTTCGAAGAAGTCTCTTCAACAATTATTGTTCAGTGCTTGATTTAATTGAGTTGATTGTTTGTTTGTTTGTTGTTGTTGTTTTTTTTTTCGTTCTTTAGAAAATGTTTTACTAATGTTTGTACTCAGTGGTGGTCAGTGTCTACAACGACACAGGAACTCGGTTCAAATTGCCTCAACTGGAAGACCGGTCTCCACTTCCGGCAGTAGAATTAGAACCTACGACGTAGGGATAACACCGTACTCCGCGACTTTAGAATAAAACAAGACCATTGCAACACGTATATGTAAGCGACGTTTTATTCCTTTAAAATCATTAATCAATTGTATATCTTTTAAAAAACCATCAATAAATAAATAAAAGCACTAATCCCGTTGCGAATAGATTTTCTCAATCAAATTATGCATCTGAAATTAGACTTTTTGCTTGATATATCATAACATGAACTTAGCTGATTTTGGGGAAAAAAACACGTTCATATACATAGTATTATATGATAATAAAGTAAACTACATTATGTAGCATAATACATACCATAAAATCTCCATCCATTCTAATGTCATGTTCTTTATATTTCCATTCTTCTTCTGTTTGAGGTAATGTAAATTGATCACCCACAGACCTTTTTACAACGTTGTAAATAACAACCTTTAATGGCATGAAATAATCACTGATGATGTAGTATCGGAAACGTAAACACCAATTATAACCTAAAAGTAAATTCAAAAATATCCCATAGTCTGTCAGATATTATACATTTGTTGTTTCAACTGACAAATAAATTAATTTCATACCTGGAGGAAAAACGGAAGAAATAAGGCGGGCCTCCTGATTTAAGCTATATCCACTGTCTTCTACGTATGCAAAATATGCTCCATCAAAGGGTTTTTCTGGGCGAGTACTTTTGATACTCTGATCAAAAACATTTGTCAAGTGTGGTTTAAAATTGAAATTACAGAATTTGTATAGACAATATCAAATGTTCTGGGTAAAGCATGTGAGCAGCATATTATTAATCAAATACTGTGAAATCACTTACTTTCGAGGGGTCATTTTTTCGTGGTTTTCATGAAAAAAATATGTGGTTTGAGAAACTTTGAGTTGAATACACTTGAAATTTTACATTTTGTGGAGGACATGAGTTCGTGGATCTCTCCATACCACGAAAACAGCAATAATTAAATCCCAACGAAAATTAGCGATTCCACAGTATCTTAGAAAGATGTATTCTTAAAATACCTTTCTCAAAATTGAAATACAGAATTTTGATATTCTTAAATTGCTTTTAATAAAACTTGGTAAATATACTCAACAGTTTCCACAATCCAGTCAAAGGTGTTTCCTTTGTCCTGAATCAAAAAGCAGGGTTCCCCAGGCTCAAACGTACATGAATAGTAGCCATCTAATAGAACACATTAGTCAATGTAATTTATAATTGTGGTTTATTTTTCTTCTCATTCCTTTCTTAGAAGCATATTATATTTCAATATATGTATATGTTGATAAGAATATTTTTCAATAAATTTTAGCTACTGAAATTGTTGGTTATTTAAACAATATAATTTAAGTCGTTAAAAAAACTTTCTGGTAGCTTTGCAAGTTACAAATTAAAGTAATTGGAATTTACTTTTTTCTTCAAACTTGCTATTTTTATGGTAAGACATATGTTTTATCATACCGCAAGAAACTTCAGAGACATCGGCATCAAGGCAATTCCTTTCCCTGAACAGATAACTATTGTTTACGCACCGTTGGGTTAAGCAAGACGTACTCTCTAATTGTAATGGATACATCCCTTGGACTGATTCTCTTTGAACTGCAATGCAAGAATAAATCTGGAAATTTCAAGATAAATCATTGATAGGTTATTCATTAACTAAAAGCATATGTTTAATTTCCAATGCTTTATGTTGGATAAAGAATATTGGCTCATGAGACAGGGTTTTTTTATATTTTCAATTTTCAGTGAAAATATGAAAAAAAAATGCCTGACACACTTGAGATTTAGAGTCTATATCCAATATCAAAACATTGAATGGCCTCTATATACACATATACATGTGTTAACATTCTTTTTATAATAAGGAATGAATTGCAAATTTAAAAATATAATGAAAATTATAGTTAGATATTGCATTTAACATTAAAAGACATTATAAGATAATTATAAGATACTGTAAGATATAAATTTAGGTACTATATATAACCATCAACATGGTGTTTACATCACCTACAAAAACGTCGAAGAACTTCATAACGTTTCAACGGTCTATGTTTTGACAAATAAGCTGAATCAAATCTTTAAATATGTGAAGAAAAATAATTATATTGTAATATAATATAATCTAAATATTACTTGTTAATTGCTTTTCAGAATTAAAAGATAGTTGCATTTAGAACTTCTTAACTAAAAGACACAGTGTATATGGAAAGGATTTTTGCATGTTTCAATTAAACAAATAATTTAAAAAAGCATTTTTAAAAAACCAAATCATGATTGATTGTATGTTTTTTACGTCCCATTAGATATTTTTCACTCATATATAGACGGTGTAGGCCCTCAAATTTAGGCTTATACTCGGCACTCAGGGCCATTAAACAGTGAGTGACAGTTCTTTATCGTGCCAAATCCTACCATGAAAATAAAAAGGGTGATGATAACGAACAGTGATCGATATCAAAAAATCTACAAACAATACAAATCTGTTAAAAAGGCATAAAACACGGACCCTGACAATTCCAGAGTTGGGATGAGGTGCCTATAGGGAGTAAGCATCCCCTGTTGACCGGTCACACCAGCTGTGAGCCCTATGTATTGATCAGGTAGACAGAACATTCTGTAGTCAAATTCAGTATAAAAACAAAGGCCTAACAATTGGTATGAAACAAGTCAGCAAAATTACGACCTGATGATAGGTTATATTTGCTAACAAGGTCATTATAACGATCATTGACTTTACGAAATGCTGACTTTAAACGAGGTAGTTAAAATCCCTGTAACAAGGGACCTCGGTTTTAAGGTCTCAACCGAAAGCTTAAGACTCGTGACTTTCACTTTTAATGCCGGGCGCTTGGCGAAGGAACAATCACTGCTATGTGTACGTCTTAGGTTTGACGACGGCGCGGCAATCGAGACTGGAGCCGGGGTCTCACGAACCGAACGCCCTACCACTAGGCTACCGTACAGGCTATCAAATTCAAGCATGAAAATGAAGATTCCGAACTTTTTTGAACATAATAATCTTGCAAAAGAAGACTTGGCTACTGCGTAAAATGTAAGAGACGTTTTGAGAACAAGGTTTTTGTAGAAAATAGGTCGTTTTTCAAGTCCCCTTTGGTCCCCAGCATGAAACGAAACTTCTGAAACCGTATTGCACATCTACAGGACAAAACCTATCAAATTCCAAAAGATGAATTGGTTACTGCTTGAATTCCAATAGGAAAAAGAAAGTGTGACAGATGGAAGGACGGACCAGGATAAAAACAGTAAACCCTGACTTTTTATAGAGAGTGAGGGTATAACAAGTAAAACGTTTATCTCATAAACAATGAAGCATATGACCGTGACGGTAGCTCAGTTGGTAGAGCGCTCGCTCCGTGATCGGATGGTCGTGGGTTCAAATCCCCGCCGCGACAGACCTAAGCCGATACAAAAGACGTGGCAACTGTTCCTTCGCCAAGCACTCGGAATTTGAAGTGAAAGTTGCGGTTCTTTCGGATGAGGCGTTGGAACGATAAAGATCCCTCACTGCTAAATGGCCCTGAGTGTGCTGAGTAAAGGTCTAAATTTGAAGCCCTTATCCGGTATATGGTGACGTCTCTCTATGAATGAAATAATCTCGAAAGAGACGTAAAACAATATACAATCAATCAATTAAAGCATATGCTTTCTAAATAATATTAAAAAAAGTATAGATCAGAACCTCAAAACAACTAATATTTGTAAAAACTTAGATTTTCGTTATAAAATATTGAATGCATGATGATAGCATTGCGCATTTTATATATTAAAGAATACAATTTATGCTATTACTTACCGACATTGTATATATTCAAGTTATCAAAGCCTCCACAAAATGTTTCTTCGTCACAGGATAGATTACATAAACTTGCACTTTTCTGTTCGCCAAATATTTCACTTCCTTCTATGCACAGGCATTTGTTCATCTTCAGAATTAGAAATGAGGCTTAAAAACTATCATCTTATAATCTTAAAATTTTATCTATTGATTTCATTAGGAAGAAGAATCTATCTCAGAAATATATGTTTCTTGCAATACGTAGTGATTTATTTTGATTGGGTTTTTTTAACCTGTATGCAAGCATGTTTTCCTTAAGCTTACCTTTATTGCAAATCTAGAATAATTACTGCAGAGAGATTGGCACTCGTATACCGAAGGCCTGCTTAAACTTAGAAAATCCATGTTGTCTGGTATGTCAAAGCATCCTAAAAATAGAGCAAAGTTCTGAAGGGCAGTTAAAAACCTAGTTATGATGATAGATATATTTTTGAAGAATATAATTTTTTTTAAAAAGTCATCTTTGTTATATTGTTTTCTGGCTCTTTCAATGTCCTAAAGGTAATGTAGAATGCACTTGAGTCTATCAAAGATTTTTACTGATTCAATCTTAATTCGTTTCAAAGTTATCATGTTGTAAATTTTGCATTTTCCTAGTAATATCGGAATTTACAATATGATACTATTAATCTTACTGTATTCATTTGCTCTAAGAAAGAAAAAAGTCTTACTTTGTAAAAATTGGAACTCTCTGGTTAAAAATTATCGAGTAGAAAAGTAGCAAACATGATGTATCATATCCCTGTATCATTTGTGTCTTTTGAAATATCACTTCACATAACTACACAGCACCAGGCAAGCATACTTTTCTTAATGTGGTGTTATATCAAAGACTCAGTATTACATGCTAATTGCTTATGCTTCAACCTGAACTAAGACCTTCTGATTTGTATAGGAAAATACAACTGTCTAAATGTAAACTAGGGAAGTAGGAACTAATAATCCTCATTATTTAACTTAAACATATATATTCCGCTTTGAATAATAAACAAATTTCATACCAACAATTGTCAAATATGGCGTAGAAGAAATAAACGTATTCGTCCACAAATCTTGAAAATCATCACTTAAACATGATTGCAGAAAGGATCTAAGATTTGTTTGATCTAAAGTAGACAAATGTGCTCCAAACTCTTCCTCACAGAAGTTTCTCGCTTCAGTCAAGCTCATATTCTTTGCAACATATACGTATTCCTTTCCTGAAACTTCAAAACCTTATTTAGGTCACTATTTTGAAATATATCGTTTGAAGAATACATAATACATACATAAAGTTATACTTTAATATCACTTCACTTAACACATTTTTACGTTTAGACCTAGTGGTTTCTATTATTTACTGAATCTATTTTATGTTTCCTCATGCTGCACAATCTCACCGCAGCTCTGTTTTTGCTAAGTAATGAACAATGAAATCAACACCAATGTCGAGATGAAATATGTCATTTATTAAAAATGACGAAAATAAGAAATATATATACATAACATGATAGGGGATCAGACCAAAAGGTATTCTATTAGAATTGAAGAACATATCAGATACGTTTCTGAATTGAAGTATGAAAAATATCTTGTTTTGTACTAAAAGCTTAATTGTGATATATCTTGTTTTGTACTAAAAGCTTGTGATATATCTTTGTGATAATTAACACATGGCCAAAAGCATAATGCAGTTACTACAGTAGTATACAAATTTTAATGCTTGCCTTGCTAAAACATTTTATTACTTAGGAAATATTTAATTTACACCAGCTTTTAGATTTTTTTTTTCATTTTTGTATATTATCTGTATTAATTTTATTTCAAATTTTTATTTAGAAAAAAAGATTGCAGGCAAGAAGCAAGGCCAATAGATTTTAACCTATGCAAAACTTGTTACCCTTGTAAAGGTATACATAGTAGATTTTATTTCCCCTGCAAAAGTCACAGTAAGTTTTCTCATGAAGGAACTTTAACTTATCATCATCGTTTTATTTTCATTACAACAAAAGCAAATATCGTTATTTTCATGTAATGATTATATTTTTTTCTAATTTAGAAAAAAAGAAAATTTTACATATTATCAAAATATAGAACTGTGTATTTATTGTTTCATAAAAATGTTTCAAAGACATTAACAATTACTATGTGAAAGAAAACAAAGAATGGTCTCCGACTTCATTCTATAAAAAAAAATGACCAGTAAATAACTCCCCCCCCCCCACCCTTGACTTTAACTTTGTTTAAATTTCTGAATGACAATACGAAGACTCATTAGTCTTCTTATGTCCCTATCAAGTCTCAGAAAATGAAGATAGATAGATAGATAGATAGATAGATAGATAGATAGATAGATAGATAGATAGATAGATAGATAGATAGATAGATAGATTAGATATATATAAACAGGCTTGGGGTAATGCTAATTGTAATGGTAATGCATTGCAATGCATTACTTGAACTCGAAGTAATGCTAGTAGTGTGTAATACCAAGAAATGTGCATTACATGTAATGGTAATGTAATGCATTACTTTCCCCAAATCCAGAGTAATGCTGGCATTACATAGCATTACAAAGCATTATTTTGTATATAACTTTAAAAAAAAAAATAAAAATGGACAAAGAAAGTATTGCTTGAATATTTTTTTTATAAATGATAGAAATGAATGAAAAAAAGTTAACCTATTTAAATAAACTCTCTGTATCTATATAAATAAACTTTTTATTCTGTTGAAAGTACAATTACCACACATTTAAATTTTCACACTTATTACAGATAAAATTTAATTTCAAAGAATATTTCAAGGAGTGTTTTTTTTAATTTCTATTTGAAAATAATTCCGGTATGAGGTACACTAATTAATGTATACTGTAAACTGATAATTTCATCCTTTTGAATACAGTGTCCTCAAAACACACAATGCTTCTTAGGTTATGTAACAATTAAAACAATGTATTGTTTTGAAAAGCATTCTCTTTCTTCTGACTGTGTTTATGTTTATGAAACATTAATTGAGCTGATCTAGCTTGAGCTGACCATAGCAATCCATTGCACCTAAAGGAAGAGGAATTATAGAAGACAGGCATTCTACTTTTAACAGAGCAAAATGTACATATTGTCCAACCTTTTTTACAAGTTTGTCAATGTATTTAATTGTTGTCATAATTTAAGGTACTAGATCCAAATAATCTTTAAATGAAATTAAGTTTTAGTTTTGGGGAGGGAGGAAATTGCCTAAAAAAGGAATTGCTTTGTGACATCAATTGTCATACAAAAGTGCATATTGTACATGATTTATCTTATTGGCAGTTGAACAATTTGATCTTCCTATGAATAATAAAGAGACATGTTAATTATTTAGAATGTAATAAATACAAGTACTTGAAATCAAATTGATATATATATATATATATATATATATATATATATATATATAAAGCACAAAGAAATTCACTTTTTACAAGGATACCCACTTCCGCCCCAGCCCGGGGTTGAACTCTCGACCTACGGAATCTGTCTCCTAGCAGTACAGGAACAGCGCGCTAGACCGCTCGGCTATCTAGGCAAGTCAAAAAAACTTGCTTTCGATGCCGATGGAATTCTCGCGGCGCTTTCCTACACTACACGGTCATTGAGAATGGAAGTGAAATACAGTTATTTGGACATTAGTTTTATTAGAGGATCGTTACCAACACACGTTGTAATGAAATTAATCTTTATTTATAAAGCACATTTTACAACAACTCTTAAACTAACATAACTGCCCTAAGTGAAGAAATATTAATATAGAAAGCACAAAGAATATATATACGAAAATTTATATTCCATTGCTCTGTTAAAAATTGTTTCACTGATTGACTCAGGTAAAATTTTCATGTGTCTGGCTCTTTTGCTTATCAAGCACGAAGAAGCCTTTTCTCGTTTCATTTGTTCAAACCTGTAATTATAATATTTGATTTTGCTCCCTCCAAGGGATTTTATATTTTATAAATGCCAAAGGAAACATATGTTTAACTTTAATATTGACTTAATCTTGTTCATCCTCATATTTACACGAAATTCAATTAAATTAAATAACTTACCAGCAGACCTTATGCTTGCTTCAAAAAGGAAGATTGTTACCAGCGTACAATACATGTTTTGCCGAATATATCTCAAAGTTGAAACGCAAAGTCCTGAGACTTTAAGGTTAACATGAATGAATCTTCTCATGACAACCATAGATTGAGAATTTAAGTGATACACATCCTTCCAAGACGTCGATTATGCTACATTTTTTTTTCCTTTTATGAACCTTTTCCTGTTAAAATGTCCAGTTTCTTCCTCTCCATTAGGTGAGAGCACATGATTTAAAAATAAATTTGATACTAAGGGTCGTGCGCAAAGTATAGTTGCATCTCCTATTTCTCCACTTCGACAGGCACGGAAGGAAGTTTCGTTTTAAAGTTCATCAAGGGAATGGTATGAAGATACGTTGTTGAGTTTTAAGAATTAACTTCCGTTATCGCGCAATACTTTTTGTCCGGATCCTGTTTAGATATTTTGCTAAAGAAGATAAATTGTCATATTCAGGAAGCCTAAACTAACTGAAAATATAACAGAATCATGTAATATAAAATGTAATTTAAGGTTTCACTGAAGGCACATTTGTGTTTCTAGAAACAGTTTTAACAGTGGCCAAACTGTGTTAATGTTCCTGATTATTGTGACAAGTGTTACACCTCTGCAAATCATAGTAATTAAATTGACAAAAATAATGTATTTAATTAAAAGTTCTCAAAGTAAGAGATAAATGTAGAAATTAATAATTAAAATTCACTTTGCATTCCTTTTTTAAAACTCTATCACTTTTATCCACGCTTGAGTATTCAGTTGCAAAGTAATATTAAATTTACAGTCAAACCTCGTTGTCTCGAACTCGACGAGACTGATATCAAACTTCGAGATACTCGAGGATTCGAGATAACGAAGTTTAGAACATAAAGTAAAAGTGGTTGAGCATACCCCTGGTATTTGAGATATCGGAGTTTGAGATAACATAGTTCAGCTGTATTTTATTTAGAACTATGCTATTTAGTGTACGTTAGCATTCAAACTTCTTGTTGCAGGATTCTATGAGCACTAAAACTACTGGTTCCATTTTTCAATAATGATCAAGTCAGATTATTGTCTGTTTGATCAAAATAGCCTAGTTACAATGTTTGAATAATACTAGCTAGCACTTTACAAAGATGTGAAAAAAAATTTGTTTATTCCAATATTTCAGAAATTTCTCTTTTTACTAAAAATATCTCTATTTTGGAAAAATATACACATACATGTGTCTCTATTGGCAAATTATTAGATTTCTTTTATATAATAATTCAGAGAAATATATCTCTAACATATAGAGATATCTCTTTTTGATATAAATATATGTTAAAGACAATGAGATATACTTCATAAATGTCAAAGATATCTGAAATTTAGATGACTTTATTTGTCTTAAGGTGACTCCATATTCACACTTTCATGGGTTCAAAGTTTAAAAACTGCATCAACTATAAAAGCACCTGGTACAGTCTAATATAATAAATAATCACAGAAATTGTGTAGGCCGCGAAATTTTTGAAGATGCCAGACAAAGATATTCACGTTTTCGTTAGTATAAAAACTCTCTCTCTCTCTCTCTCTCTCTCTCTCTCTCTCTCTCTCTCTCTCTCTTGTTTTGTTTTTGTTTTTTTGTTATTGTTGTTGTTGCTAAAAAGCACTTTCAAAATCATCACTTAAAAACTGGTTCAAACGACATAATTTAAAATAAGCAAACTTCCAAATAATAGTAATTTCATGAGTATGTGTGAGTTGTGGATATCAAGGAAACTAATTCACAATACAAATATAATAAAATTAATGAAGGTATATGGATAAGAGTTATTGCCCTCTGCATATTTTTAAGAATAAATAAAATTAATGCTTAATTATAGTGCATATTATTTTCATAATTATTTTATTCCACAATATTTTAAATATTTTTTTAATCTTCCAAAAGATATATTTCTATTGAACACATGGTTGAATTAATAATGAAAGCTTTTGGAAAGACCTGATATCACACAAAATTGGAATTACATGTACCTTTAAAGAGATATCTACTTTTCACGATGAATAGTAGTAGGGCAGTCATTAGAAACTAGATGAGTGGAGACCGTTGCTATAGTAACATTTTATAACGTTCAATTTTTTTCAACTTTGTATAAATCAGAATGAGAAGTTTTGAACAAGGAAATTATTTATAATAATTATCATATTAAATAGATTACCAAATTAAAACAATACATTTTATTTTCACCTTTGCTTATTAAAAAAATACAGAAAAAGTAAATTGCTAAAACAAACTTCTCTAATTGAGAACACAGTAAAATTTAAATTAAAATAGATAAAGTATTAAACCATTAATTCTTCAAGACAATCTAAATTAGCAATATTTTACTGAACTTTTCAAATATGCTAATACTTGTCTAATAAAAGTACATCATTCTATTACTGTGACGTAAGAAGCCACCGCTTGCTATTGACGACTTTTCACTACAGCGGTAGTAAATATACTCGTACATCTCAGGTATCAGATGGACACATTCACTCAGGCGCAGATCATTTATTTCGACTTACATTTTATCAGATATCATATAAGAGTTCAGAGTTCATACAATAGATTAATATAACATTTTAAAAAGTTTTTTAAAAAGCTTTTCCCCAAAAGTTCGTGAGAAATTTGTATGAATCACTCTATTTTTATTTGTTATTTACTGAACCCAAACCTCGACGCTCATATACGTACAAAAATATTCCCTTAATTCTAGAATATATCACATCAAATTTGGATGATTTAGCCATGTAGTTAAGAAAATATTATGAGAGTATGAAAAACCTACAGAAAACACACAACAGACATACATATGATGCACAAACGGCAGGTAAGCTATGATGACATTATTTCTGAAGTATGATATATGAAGTATAAATAAGATGAAATACTCGTGGTGACAAAAGAGACGTCTTTGCAAAAAATGCCACACAAGAATTTTATTTAAAAGATCTTTAAGACATCCCTTTTAAACTATGGTTTCAGCATTGATAGGCCGATATTATCTCTTAAGGACGACGGACCTAATTCGAAATTTCACACCACTGCGCAGGAAACTGCGCATATGCCTTGAATCAAATTGAATTAATTATATATTGCAAAAGATAAAAAATTACATTTTTAATTGTTTTAAAGATATTTAAACGTTTCTTCTCAATTCAAAAATATTGTAAATATTTCGATTTATATTCATTTGTTGATTTTATAAATAAATGATTTATTTGGCCAATGTATTTTCATTGAAATTTTCCCCTAAAATGTGCCCTACACCTGAGTTTGACATGCCCCCCTGAAAAATCTAAGCCGATGACCCATTTATTTTTTGGCATAATTTGCTGGTAAATTGTCTTGTTAGTATTGTCTTTTAATATGAATAAAAATTCTATTGCAGATGTTTTTTTTCAATAATCAATCATACTCTACACTGGCAATTTCCCATTACTTCCTACAGTAATTATCGATTTCCATTGCCAACTTTTGAAACGCTCCCCATTAAAAATCTACATCGATGACCATATGATTTTTTTTTATCGAATTTAACTCACCAAAAGTCACTTTACCTCATATTAAAATTTGAATAAAAAATCTATTGCTGAAATGAATTAGGTCCGTCGTCGTTAATTATTTTATACGTTTTTTTATTTTTTTTTTTTATTTTTTGCATTTTTTTTTTCATTTTTTCCAGAGAAAATGAAAAAAATATTTTATTTGCAAATAAGATGCATTATGGTTTAAAATTTGCTGTTAATAAATGCATAATATGAATGTCTAATAGAATATGTAAAGAGAGGCTAGATAGACATTTTAATGTTTTAAATAAAAAATTATTTATGAAAATAAAACACATTTGTGAATATTTCTATAACCTATGGATAAAATCTTCATAAAACTAGTCACAACTAGGGAGAACATATTAGTCAATAATATTTCAATTTCATTTCAATTTCTTTTTAATACGAGGGGTGATCAAAAAGTTCGCGAACTAATTGAATAACTTCCATAAAAGAAATGAAATTAGGTTTTAGTGTTCATTATTTTTTAAAGTAGTCCTCTCCGATTTAAATGCACATCTGCCACAGTTCTGTCCATGCGCAAATCACGTGATACAGGTGGTCACGTGACATGCTCCGAAGCGTTCCGTTCACAGGATGTAAAAGATTTTTTCGAGTCTTATATTTCTTACCATACAAGTTATTTTTTATAACAAGAACAGTCAACTTGTCAAAAATGGCCAAATCTCGGCAATAGGATGGTCGGATAAGGATATCCTTTCCCGGAATGAGCATGGTGACCATCGCAACCCGAGTTTTCCGTCTTGGGAGCTTCGTTTATCCAATGTGGATATAAGGCATGGCGCCTTCTTTTTATCATATCTGATATGATTAAATTCTAAAGTAAACGATATTTTAGGGATTTAATAACTGTATTATTGTTAAGATATTCAACTATTTTTCTAACTGTAACTTGGCGGTCTTTCATATCAAATTGCTCAACTGTGGACACATCTCTTTCCCAGCTTGCTTTCACTGGGCAAGAGAACAAACATCATTTTTTAACCATCTCCCTTCTTTCACTAAAACAATCAATCCAATTAATGATTAAACTCCTGGCAAGTCTTTTGTCTTCATAAACTTTGTACAAAGTTATATATGCTATTGCAAAGGAATTTCCAAGATACACATTAAACTTTACAGCAGTTCGTTGCTCGAATACGACTGAGTCAATCATCTTTTGTCACTAGTAATCTACCTAATGACGTCATTTTCACATTGTGACGTCACAAACATGAATCAAAACATTACATAAAACTGCTATATATAGAACACATGTATGACTATATGCGTACCAAATTTCATTCTGATCTGAAATGTGGTTTTGAAAATATAGAGATAGTTCGCGAACTTTTTGATCACCCCTCGTATATGATTGTCTAACATATCATTTGTAGCTGTGATTTGTTTATATATATATATATATATATATATATATATATATATATATATATATATATATATATATATATATATATATATATATATATATATATCTATTATCTTTCTTTAATTTCTTTTTATCATGTAGAGTTACGCTATTTTGAGAGAATAAGACAATGTACGATTTACTGTTGGCCGTAATTAATTAGTGATAATTAATTCGTTCAATTATGTAAATCACACTTCACCAGACTACACCCGATAGACCGGACGCAATTCATAGCGCTCCGGATTTCTTTGTTCACAACTGTTTATAAACTCCAAATTAAACATGTAACATTGTAAATATTTAGTGTTTGGTAGTTTAGTAGTAGTGCTAGTTGTTTTTGCTTCTCTATTTCCTTTGTTTTTATGACTTCTTAACTTTTTTCTTTGTCCTGAGGAAGGGACAGGTTGTCCCGAAAATTTGACAATTATTATTGTTCGTGTCGTTGGTCATTTTTAGTGCTTTATATAAATTTCCATCCGTGACCTTGTATCTACTTAGTAGATCCGACACTTAGGATATACAGTGTTGTTGGTTTTTAGTGCTTTATATATATATATATATATATATATATATATATATATATATATATATATATATATATATATATATATATATATATATATATAAAATCCAGGTTTTGAAAATATTAAAAAATAATGTTTTGGTTTCATAAATAATTTTTCAGTAAAAAAAAATTAAAATGTTCTATCTGGCTTTTCTTTACATATTTTATTAGAAAAAAAAAATCTTATAAAATAATTCAGAGCTAATATCGGCCTTTCAATGTTGAAACCAAAACTCAACAGGGATGTCTTGGAGATCTATGGAATAAAATTTTGGTGTGGCATTCCTCCATAAAATGAAAAGCAGACGGAAGATGAAAGGTTTTAATGCAGTTGTATTTTTATATCAAACATTCTCGCTAATCATAGGCTTAGTTCAAATGACTGTTTGCTCTTAAAACAAGCACACATTTAGAAGTTAGTTCTTGAATACTCAGTCGGTACCATGTGTCGTTTTTGCTGCAGTATTATACACTGTTTCAATATGACATGTGCATTTATTTGGAAAACTGTAAACGTCATCTGTAACATTGAATCCTGCACGATCATACGTATTGTTTATATCCTGATTAATCTTAGCTGCTCCGTATTCACCCTCAGTTCCCCCTGTATGGTCATACGTATCATCACACAGAATTTGATGAGTACCATATTGATTGTCAGTCATGTGGCTGTACGTGTCTTCTTGAACTGACGTTACAATATTGTTTTCCTCGTGGAGATGGTCATAGACATCTTCCGATATTTCAATTTTATCAATTATATTGGTAGTTGACTGTGGTTGTGGACCAAACATTACATGTTCCTGGTTAACATATATTTCGTTTAAGCCCAGTCCTCCTAAAATATCGCTTTCGTTCGTGAGTTGTTGAGTGATTTGATTTTTGGAATTGATGTACCTTGAAGTTTTGTTTTGTATCATAAGAATATCGTCTGATTTCATGTACATTATATTCACTTGTTCTTTCATTGAAGAATTTTGCTGTTGTTCATATTGTGCTTTCATTGCTAATTTCCTATAAAAATAAAAAAAAAAAATATGTATTGCAGTAATGAAAAACAACAGGCCCATGGACAACATGGCTCATCTGAGCGAAAAAGCAGAAATCAGTTCGGTATTGAAAAGATTTAATTAAAAAATTGTCCCGGGAGAAGGGAGGGGGCATGACTTGAATAAAATTGAATCTGCACTACATGAGGATGCTTCCATATTTCTTTGACTAATCATGACTTTAATAGATTTTTTTATGATTTTCTCCTATATGATTGATCTTCTTTTGAGACCTTGCCCTACCCCTGGGGGCCATGATTTAGACACACTTTTATCTACACCACCTGAGGATGCTCTGAATTAATACGACCAATCATGGCTTTGCTGTTCTTGGGAAGAAAATTTTTATTGACATATCCTGGGGGTCATGATTTGAACAAACTTGATTCTACACTACCTGAGGATGCCTCCATGTAAATATAACCAATCATGGCTTTGCTTTTTGTTTGTATGTTGTTTAACGTCCCTCTCGAGAATTTTTCACTCATATGGAGACACCACCACCTGCCGGTGGAGAGCTGCAAAATTTGTCCTATACTCGGCACTTACGACCATTGAGCAGTGAGGGATCTTTTTCATGCCAGCATCTACTGCGGTTTATACGGTCTCATCCGAAGGACCGGTCTCCACGTCCCACAGTGGGATTCGAACCCGCGACGTAAGGATCAACTCCTTAATCCGCGACTCTAGAGCGAACGTTCTAACCACTGCGCCACGCGGACGACTCATGGCTTTGGTGTTCTTGAAAATAAGATATTTAATGATTTTTCCTATGTATTCCTTTGACAAATATCAATCGCCCATTGTGACACCACCCTACCCCAGGAGGTCATGATTTGAACAAACTTGATTCTACACTACCTAAGGATGCTTTCATATAAATATAAACAATCATGGTTTTTATGGTCTTGAAAAGATAATTAAAGACTTTTCCAATATATTTCTATGTAGAACTTTGATCACCCATTGGGTCCCCACCCTACCCCCGGGGGGCCATGATTTGAACAAACTTGATTCTACAATACCTGAGGATGCTTTCGTATAAATATGACCAATCATTGCTTTGGTGTTCTTGAGAAGAAGATTTTTATATATATTTTTACCAGTTACTCCAATGTTAAACTTTGATCGCCCACTGGAGCCCCAAACTACCCCCGGGGGTCATATTTTGAAAAAAATTGAATCTACACTACCCGAGGATGATTCCGTATAAATATGACTAATCATGGCTTTACTGTTTTTGAGAAGAAGATTTTAAAAGAATTTCCCTATGTTTTCCTATGTAAAACTTTACAAATTTGATCGCTCATTGTGGCCCCACCATACCCTCGGGGTCATAATTTGAACAAACTTGAATCTATCCTATTTGAGAATACTTCCACTTAAGCTTCATATTTTCTAGCCTAATGATTCCTGAGAAGATTTTTATAAGATGACATTATTTTTTCCAATTATTCGTAAGTATTTTCCCTTGGAAGAAAATATGGCCCTTCATTTGAATCAACTTAAACCAAGGATATTTTATGGCAAGGTTGGTTGAAGTTGGCCTAAATTGTTCTTGAGAAGACGTCGGAAATGTGAAAACGTTCAGACAGAGAGACGGATGCCGGACAAAATGTGATCTGGAAAGCTCACTTGAGCCTTCGGCTCAGGTGAGCTAAAAAAAAAAGTTAAAGACTTATTTGCACATGGATTTAGTCGCCCGCTTGGCATAGGGGTTAGAGAGTTTGCTCTAGAGTCGTGCAGTAAGGAGTTGATCCTTACGTCGCGGGTTCGAATCCCACTGCGGGACGTGGAGACTGGTCCTTCGGATTAGATCGTATAAACCGAGGTCTCCTACCGCAGTAGGTGATGGCATGATAAAAGATCCCTCACTGTTCAAAAGTCGTAAGTGCCGAGTACAGGTCTAAATTTGCAGCCTTCCGCCGGCAAGTGGTAACGTCTCCATACGAGTGAAAATTCTCGAAAGGGACGTTAAACAAACAAACAAAAACATGGATTTATGGAGGTTATAGATTAAAAAAAATATTGCATTTGAAAAGTTGCATCAAACAGCATTCATGTTCTAAACTTTCACTTGTTGTAGAACATTTTAAAGGATGATTTATTGAATATGGATCACAGCTCATACAGTTATGTTTGCATACATGCAATTGAATAATATATTTTTTTTATAAATCAGACGGTTGTTTTGATAAGATTTTCAAATTTCACCAAACATTCTGCGATGACGTACGTACTTTAGGGAAAAAAATCTGATCATTCACTTCTAAGGCATTGTGCACCAAAATACAAGTTACATGCACCAAATAAAGTTCAGTCAAGGAGTTTCTATTATAATGAGCCGTGCTTAACAAATTGAAAATTATGATATTCTTTTTTGTTTCTTAAATAAGCAAGGTTCACGTTAATAGGAAAAAAAATAACCAGTACTTACTTGTTCAACGAATGATAATAATTTTATTGCAAAAATAAATATATATGGCTGTAAAATTAAAATTTTGCACAAATATAAAGAGAAAACATACCGTTTATATAACATAAAGATGACCAATATGCAAATCAACACAACGAAGACAAACGAAATAACGGCGACCAGAGTGAGGGTAAGCATGTCTACAAGAATATAAAATTCAGGTCTTCATGGCTGGTGGCTCTTGTGGTAAAGTAAATATTAATTTCATTTCGATCATGAACTTTGATTAAAACCTAACAATTCTATTCAATATATTTCGTAATTATTTCGCAGATCTTATAAATATTTACATTCTTTGAATATGCATTACATGATATGCCGTGAAAATAATCTATGTAAATAATCAGCGGAGATCTAGAACCATGAAATGAAAAAATTGAAAAATTACTCCAACTTCTAAATAACATTAGATAGATTTATTACTTATATATATATATATATATATATATATATATATATATATATATATATATATATATATATATATATATTAAAGTTAGCATCAATTGTTCAAGATAATTAATTTATATGTGGAAATATAATTATATGAAATGGAACTCACCATAAGCAAGGGCGTTTTCTTTACTTCTGACATCAGTAATAACGTTACTAACTTCTGAGTATACAAGGCACTTCTCACACTGCTCTGATAAATTTCGACCTATTTTATTTGAAATATTTGATTAGGCATAATTAAATAAAAGTTTTTAAAAAAAACTAGATGTATAAATATCTGTATCTATAATTATAAAATAAAATTATAATAAGTATTGATTTAAAGTCAAAGTAAAAAAGATGTAGAAATTAAGAAAAACCGAACGATTCAATACATCTTGACTAGCCAACCTGAATCGTTTATGAAAGTTAAAGAAAAGCCAAACTCTTTTTAATTTTTAAAATATGAAGGATTTATTACGTACTCACGTTTTTCACAAACAAATGCCTTAGTTGTATTTTTGTTGAAAGTTTCCCAGACATATGAATGCATGCCATATTTGTATCTTAAAATCATCACAGCATTAGGATTTCTCTTCAAGGCTGAAAAATTAACATTTTTATTGTACTTTATTTAAGAGAATCATATATACCTGAGATTTTCAATGTTTATTTTTTCCTAATTGTGAAAAAGAAGTTTCACGGTTTCAAATACTAGTAAACTGACATGAGTTAATCGGCGATGCATGAAGAAATCTTTTTCATCAAAATTAATCTATTTTAATTTTATCTTTTTTAGAATGGAAAAATGAAGACTTTATTCATGTACATGTAATTATTTTATTTAGGTAATTGGTAAAATATAAAATCATGTGCACAGCATTGGGTATTTCATATTATAATGTACCAATTTTAGCTGAACCACGTCTCTGTGGCCTAATAATACCAGTCCATCTCTCATGATCGTCAGATAGGCAGGATGTGCTCGTCAAAACCCTGCTTCGGGAGTAAGATCCTAGATTCCTGAGGCATCTTTCATTAAAATTCATCCATGTATTATTGAAATCTAATGAAAAACGCAAAGTTATTGGATTTATACAATGAAAATAAAACATAAAATAAAAAATATCTAATTTTAGAATACGTACGTAGTACATATTTTTCATATTATTTTCAAAGTTTATTTTTAATCGATTAAAAAAATACATATTTTTGGAAGATTGTAAAGACTATAAAATCGTTTTATATATTATGTTTGTAGTGTTATTGCCATGACGTACCGTTTTGGTTAATTCTTATTCTTATGTCATCTATAGCAATATCTGCTACATTACTAGTTGGTACATTTGCTTCGATGCAAAGCTAATGCAAAAGAGAAGAAAAAAAATCATTTTTACAAATATACATTGATTTCTTTAACATAAAAGTAGAAATTAGTATCATGTACTAGGGAATTGTTATTCATAATGTTTAAAACCTCAAAAACTTGATCAAATCTTAAAGTATGAAAGCATCAGATACTTGAGAAGGTCGCTTGGATTCTGATAATAACAGCGTAAATCGTGTTGTCCTGAAAGGATAGTAGTTGTCTGCCAGTGTATTTAAGATTACTTAATTCTGTTATAAGAAGTCGAATATTATCGAGATTGAATCTGTTCGTTATTATCATATTTCATTCATCTACTACTCTTTTGCCCCGGAGATCATAACCAAGAAGAATAAAAATTATTTAAAATGCATCTTAAGGATAATAGTAGACCATGGATTGTATTGTTTAAAAAACTCAAGAACGTTTTTAAACAATTATTTCATACTTTCTCCTCAAACATACTAACATGAACAGACATAACATTCCAAACAAACAACCTGTATTTTAATTTGCAGACTCGACTCTTCCAGATTCTTCAAGAATCAATATATCCAATCTGAAGAAGAGTTTTAACTTTAAAGCATTTCAGATTTACTCTCTTTGCTTATCTTTATAATATCCATGTAATTTTGCGCATTTATTTCTCTCACTTCTTAATCCTTCTCATCGTCGTTATCATTTACATATTTTTTTAATCTTTTTATTAATCTACTTTAATGCACATTAATTAGAATATAATATTCTTATTTGTAAAATCTAACAAAAGCGAGATTTTTATCTTGTTCAGATAATTTCAATTAAAAATGTGACAGATATAGCAAGCAACAGAATAAATTCTACTGCTTCATGGATTAAGTTTCTCAGCTTGCAGTTGTATATGTACACACTCATTTTGCCAAAAAAAAAATGTTTTCTGCATACGATTAACAAGTGAAAGATTTACATCATCCACTTACTCTACCATATCCAACCTGCAGTGAAATATTTGATGTTCAAAATTTATTGCTATGTCTTTGGCTTCGCCAGTTCGAATTTTAATAAACATTTTAATGAATGAAGATTACGAACAGTATTCAAGCTCAAAAGTCCATGGGAACAACATAAATTGGGAGCAGCGCAAACAAGGACATCTAAATATATCAGAGCTGGGATCAGGTGCCTTGGAGGAGTTCGCATCCCTTCGACCGGTCAAACCCGCCGTGTGTTCCTTTTCATGATCGAACAAACGGAAAAAAATCTGTACACAATTCAGTGTGAAAATTAATGGTTTAACGATTCATACGTAAAACGTCAGTCAACATTAGACTTAACGATAGATTTTATTTGCTAACAATGTATCTGTATAGACCATAGGATTTGTAAAATGTTGAATGTGAAGATAGAGTCATTTACAAAAACATTTAAACAATACAAAATATATGCAGAGCAAAGAAGGACCTCTGAAAACAGAGGTGTGATCAAGTGCCGTGGAGGCTTTAGCATTCCCTGTCGATCGGTCAAACCCATGTCCTTCGTCTTGATCAGTTAAACAGAAAAATTAGCAGACAATTCAGTTTGAAAATAATCCCTAAGCAGTTATATGGAAAATAACTTGCCTCGTTTCAGAAGGACTTTTCAAAAAGTTGACTATAAAGATAAGTTAAATATTAAATTCCCGTTAGCGTTATTAAATTTAAGTTGCAACTGAATTGTATAATTTACTTACTGGCAGTATCAAAATTCATAGAAATTAACAAGTCTTTGCTTATGTTAAACTATTTTAGTGACAAATTCTTTTTGAAAATACAATCTGAAAAATTCTGAGCGGATCTTTGTTTAATTACTGGAATTATATCTCCTAAATAAATTCTATCATTATTTTGCACATAATTCTCCATACTCAAACTTAATTTGCTTTTTACTTTGAAAGGCTTCATAAAAAGAAATTCGAAGAGTTCAATTAACGTTCTTAAAATCTAATATCTTTTTATTACCTGCCACTTTCCTTCTATTGTTAATGTTCTGTTTATGAAGATCCATGCATTCCCTTCATTTCCAGTTCGTGTAAATATGATACGTTCATCTTGGATTTCATTTCTCAGGTAAACCTTAAGTGTTCTGATGGAATGTCCATACATATGATACCACATACTGAGAGTTATATTGACGTCTAGAAAACATAAAACAAAAATACAATTTTTGCAACATTTTCAAAAGTAACGAAATAATTCATAGTTCATTCAACATCTCAAACACATAGATTTACAAAACTTTATGGAATTATTGCACGAATTAGACAAAATATTTTTGATTAATATAGGAAGCGTTGTAAATTAAGCAGATTACAATCGTTTCGACATTAATTCGAATTGTCAGTTTCGCTTTGATATTCTTTCCAAACGGCGCTATAATATCCTAAAGAGCATACTTTCCAAATCAAACTTTGATATGATACGTGCTACGTCATTCCTTCTAGGTCCAGTGGCTTCAATATAGCTGAAGTAGTTTCCTTCGATATTATAGCTTGGGCCTGTGCCAGCCGTGGCTGTTGTACCTTCCTGCAAATTACATTATGTATTTTGTAGAGATGGATAGAAATAAACGCGTTCTATGAAGTAGTTGGTCAACGTAAATTTGAAGTTTAAAAAAGGCTACAGGAATATTATATTTTATATTGAATACGTTTATTCGTAGGATTGTGAATCAGACGATATAGATGTATGTAAGTTTGTATGTGAAAACTGAAAAATAGCAAACTATTACTGAAATCTTAATACCAAACATGTAATACTGCATCTCGATTCCTATCAAATGAATTGATATGCTCCAGTTGTTAACACAGTTTGTCCCTTCATTTGTCATGTGGAAAAAAAATATAAAACGATCAAGAAATCTCTTGAATTTTGTATTGCAGTCCTGTAGTTTAATTTCATGATGAAAACATCTTGATTTGTTGAATAAAAAAAAGAAAAATCTATAGTTGTATATAATCAAACCAATGTGCCAAAATAAAGACACGAGAATTCTTCGATAATTAAACTTCTTGAAGGATATTGCTTAGTTATAAAAATATATTAAGAATGAAAATTTAATTGTATTCAAGTATTAGAAGAATGTACTATTGTATGGCAAAACATCAGGTACAAATCTAATTATTATCCAAACTTTTGTTCTCTTTTTTTGAAAAATGTTTACTTACCCTTGTAATGGACCAGTCAAAGTCATCGGTAGTGTCTTGATCAAAGCATATATCTACTCCTCCTTCGAAGTTGCATTTTATCCCCCCTTTCATTTGTAGGAGTTTTGTTGTTGATTTCTCTGCAAAATAAATATTTTTCTTATTATAACTAATGTTCAAAAGATAAATCACATCAATGATTAAAAAATACTGCCTATAAGACTCTTAAGCAACCACCAATAATATAAGAACCATGCACTAGTAGTTAATGACTACATGTAAATATATTTCACTGATGAAAAGATACATTAGTTAAATAGCACACCTGTCGCCCATGTAAAAATGACACCTTAAAAGAAATGTGGCATTTGTGGTAGTTAATCCCTTTTTATCAAAGGTGCCTGTTATGGTTCGTATTATTAAAGCTGAACACGACTCGTAAATAGGCATACGCCATTTTCGATATTATATCTACGATACATCAACACCAGGGTATACTCTTCGCATTCGTTACACCTGACTGCTTTATTGTCACGGGTATCGGCGTGGAATGGCGATCCGTGTTCGTGCTGGTTATCTTGCATTACCTTTGTTTACATTTTATTGTAGTTACATGTATCTGTGTTTGTTTGTATACTGCACTGACCTGTACAACAAAAATTGTAATTTTCTTTTGTATCTTACTTTCCTGCATTAGATGAGGTATTACATTTATATTTGTCGCTACCGAGTGCTGTATAGCATACGTCCGTCTAAACCGGTGTCGACTGATTATACTGAACAGTGTCCAAGTCAGGCCCTTTATATAGGGGTCCTCAGATATAGCGAGAATCCGAACAAAAATGGCGGACACATTGCTTTTACGAATCATGTTCAGCTTTAATATAGTTTTATAAATGTTCTAAATAAAATACATATTATCCATTTTCTCACATTCCATCAGTTTCTGTTGTAATTAAGTCCCGATACTCTTACATATCTTGGAAGAGACATGAGAAATTCCGCTACACTAAATGTGTTAAACCATTATTCATGAAATTGAATCTAAGAAATATCAGATTAAGTTCTATTTTAGCTCAAATGTTCATGAAATTACCGATATACAAATAAAGGTTAATACTTCAAAACATTTTTTTTTTCAAATTCATGAAGTATGTAGCAAGGGTAGGTCAGACTTTCTGTCTTATTTCATATGCAGATAAAACTTTCATTTAACATCTTTTTGATATTTTTTTTCGGAAACTTACCACATGTACCTTCAATCATAGTCACATCATCAATAGCAAAAATCGACCCTCGACTGCCTCTTCTAGCTAGAAAACTAAGCTGAAATGGGCAAAATATGTTAAAACTGAAAAAAATGTTCGATTCTGAAAAGCACATTTATTATATTAAGATATATCATTTAGTTTATCTGCGCCATCATAATTAGTATAATACTTTTTGTGTTTATCTTTCCTTTTTAACTTTTGTTTACTATAAAAGCGGATTTTGGATATTATAACTTGCAAGTTATAAAAAGCGCTTCATATAATTTTTAATTCTCAATATCTTCAAGAAAAGACTCAACTGTAAGATCTGATGAATTTTTTTTTCAATTCATTGTCATCTATAAAAGAAAGTTCCATGCAGAACCTTTTTTAGAGGAAATTTTAAAGGTCTATGCTGGAATTGATTTTATGATTATTTCTTTAGGCAGACTTACTAAGAAATCATTCTCTATCCAGATATTTTGTTCTGTATATTTCCATTCCTCAAAATCTGAACTGGTGATATTGACTTGAAACTTCACTTCTTTTGTAACATTATTGTAAGTAATCACACTAAGGGATGCGGTGGGATCTGCTCTGTGGCTGAAGTACCAAAACCGTAGACACCACTTCTTTGCTTTACATATAAAATGATATACTAGTATTCGTAATCAAATAAATACACATAATTTGATGAAATCATTTAATTAAATTGCATGCGCATTTGTTTCCGGGCAGTATATCGCTGGAAATGTGCAAGTTTTTATTATTATTATTATATCATCAGAAAGATGCTATAATTTTGTGCCTTTCAAGTTTTTGAAATGCAATCCATTTGAATTTAACAAGAGAATTAAAGGTAACATTTATTTATTCTACTTTAGGTAAGTGACATTGAACGATTGACTTCTCTATCGTCTACTTCACAAATAAATTAAAGGCAACATTTATTTATCCTATTTTAGGTTAATGACATTGTACGATTGACTTCAACTTTTCTATCGTCAACTTCCCTTATTTAGTCATCACATGCATATTGAGTTTGTCACGTATCCCAGCTGATATCATTCTGAAGAGCATAGTCTACAAATTAACAATTTTTAGAACTAGGTAGTTTACTTACAAATACGTTGATGATACTGGATTTTCAGAATATTGATTAAAGCCAACATTTTACCTATTCTTTGGTCGATTTGGTAACCTTATATGTAAATACAATTTGTCATTGTGTCGAATGTTGACTGACGTTATTCAAACAAATTGTTACACGATTAATTTTTACACATTCAGTGATACGGGTTTCTCCATTTACCCAATCATGACAAAGGGCACACGGCGGGTGTGAGGTACCAGTCGACAGGGGATACTTACTCCTCTATGGCATCTGATCCCAACTCTGATGTTTTCAGAGGTCCTTGTTTGCTCTGTTCACAATTTTATTGTTTAATTGTTTTTTTTTAATGTGATCACTGCTCGTTATCCTTGCATTTCATTTTGAATGTTATGCTAATCCTTTGTTCGATTTGTAGGAATCCATTGTGAATAATCGCCGGGAGAACTGGAGAAATGTTACTCCTGTATGTTTATTTATTTATTGTTTAACGTCCCTCTCGAGAATTTTTCACTCATATGGAGACGCCACCACTTGCCGGTGGAGAGCTGCAAATTTTGACCTATACTCGGCACTCAGGGCCATTGAGGGATCTTTTTCGTGCCAGTACCTACTACGACACGGGACCTCGGTTTATTTATACGGTCTCATCCGAAGGACCGGTCTCCACGTCCCACAGTGGGATTCGAACCCGCAACGTAAGGATCAACTTCTTACTCCGCGACTCTAGAGCGATCGAACGCTCTAACCACTGCGCCACGAGGGTGACCACTCCCGTATGTAAAGGAAAGTATACAAATACTGTGTAACAACCAATGTATTAGAGGCAATTTGCTTTATCATCCCCCATACTCCACTGACCTTGTTTCCGGCAATTACATGTATTTCATTTTTCCTATTCTCTGTTTCGAAGATGTGCCCTGTGAATGTCACTTCCAGCCTAATGTTGGTGTCATATAGACTGTTACGGAGAGTGAACTTAAGACCCTGAATTATTAGATTTTGGAAAATAGATGGCAGAAACGTGAAAACTTAAAAGCCGTCTATGCAGAAGGATAAGAATCGAGCATTTGAAGAAATAGCTGAGCCCCGTTATTCTTAAATAAATTTTCGTATTTTATAAAGTAAGTAACTGCTTGAAGTCATACATTTGTTTAAATATAAATATTTATTCTCAAAAGCAATATAGCTCAAACTAGTATTTTGCTCGCCATTTTGGACATTGATTAAGCATGTTACCTCCCTATTGATATTCCAAACATTTGTTGGAATTTGATAAGAATGGTAATGATTTTAACAAAACGACAATGTATTAACCGTTAGCAATTTGACGGAAATGATAGTATGGGGCTGATACAAGGTAATATATTATCAAAGACATTCTTGCAAAAAATGAAAAATATTTTGTTTACAGATTTAGTACCTTGGAAAAGTGTATTGGAGACGAGAAGAGATGTATTCCCTCTACTGTAAGAGGTGTCATCAATATAGGCAAAATAAGATCCTTCGTATGCCTGTGCAGGGCTATTTCTTTCAGTTTTCTATTTTCAATTAAAAAAAAATAATGCCTTCTAATTTAAATAAATTCATACCAATTCGATTTTAAAAAGAAAATAATATATCCTTTTTTGTAGTTTCTTTGCTAGCTGTTCGAAAGTAGTTTCATTTTCTTTTCATATTTTAATATAAAACTTGCCTCATCCACTGTCCATTTAAAGTTGTCATTTTTGTATTGCACTAAAAAGCAGGAGTCACCCGGTTCAAAGGTACATGAATAATAGTCATCTGTAAGAAGTTAGGTGAAATAGAAAACTTAAGTCATATTTAATCCAGAAACTTTTTTAAGAATAGAGGGTATTATTCAGAAACAAAATAATTCATAATTAAATTAATCAACTCGAATTTGGGTTATCTAAGTGCCATAGTATACTCAACATTTATGCTTGGTTTACTTCCAGTAACACAATTCAAGTCCAGGAATAAAATTTGTCGTCAAAATGTAAATAAAACTCACTGCACGCTACGTCGTTTATGCTAGGATCATCACAGTTCCTTCCTGTGAAGGTGTAGCTATTGTTAATACACTGGTAGCTAACACACAAAGAATTAACTGGGTTCAGCATGGAATTTGATTCTGAAGACAGTCCCTGAGCTGCAATGTTTAAACTTTACGGTAATTATTAAAAAAAAAAAATAAGAAGAGGATTGATAAAATAGACATGATGAATCGTTAATAAAATCAGAGACAACTTCATCCGGGTATTCTATGTGAAGATTAAATCGTACCTCAAACAAACTCTTAAAACATATAACCTTTGAAATGTAGCATCGTTTACTGTGTGTAGAGAAACTAATTGTTCTCGCCTTTTAATTTGATAACTTTTTTCTAAGTGTAGTTCAAATTCTAAGTGTTATTTGTTTTGATTGTTGTAATAAGTAAAAATATTTTTAAAAATAATCAATATTAAGTAAAACTCTATGAGTTTGTACGTCCATGCTATAGCTTAAAAACTGTTAATTTCATTCCATCTTTAACTTCTTGCAATTTTTAAAAACTGTTCGTTTAAAAGCTTGGCTAGGAGTCAAACAATCACTTTATTCACTCTACTCTTAATGACAATAAAAGTTTGCAGAAAAAAATGAACTCCCATACTGTATTTTTGTTGTCACTGAAAGCCATTTCCTGCCTTGTCCAAAGTATCTAGCTGTGAATAATATATATTTTGCTACTGCGCTTAAATCTAATTAGCCATCCTTGAGAAATTATTTCCTTTTTTTAAAATTTCACTTTTCATTGTTGAAGATATCTCCCAAAGTAAGGGTTAAGGAGGGGTGTTCCAGACTCATCAACTCATCAAAAGTTGACTGAAGTTGAAAAGTGTGACTTTTTTCATTTGTTTGTTGGTAGATAAGGAAGATAAATCGAGATCTTAGGTCCAGGTCCTTTAATAATTTGAATTTAGGCACTTTATTATGTTCCCCAAACGAAGTTTGGGAACATATTGTTTTTACTCTGTTTCTTCTTCTTCTTCTTCTTATTATTATTATTCTTTTTTTCTACTTTCTTCTCCGGTACTTTTTTGTCCGGGAGTGTTCTCATAGAACCACTCATCCGATTGACATGAAACCTTTTTAGGGTTAATAGGCATGTTGTGTAAGTGTTCGGAACGAAGGTCATTTTGCGCGCACATGCATGCACGTGCGCGCGCGTGCAATGAGTGAAATGACTGATATACTTGATGAAGCCGTAACTTTTATATTTCTTGATGAATTGCTTTGAAACTCAAAATATAAAGATATATTAGTAGTCTAGACAAGATAACATGGTCAAATTAGCGTGAACTCACGCACATGCACGTGCGCTCTTCTCTGATTGGCTGATATAAAAATCTCAATAATTTCCTTGTTTTTTGACAAAATACTTTGAAATTTAGAATATAAGTATATATTATAAGGTGCTACAACATGTTATATAGGAAATTTCTTGAAAACACGCGCATGCAGCTGTGCTGCAATCTGATTGGTTGAAACTTTAAATGTCTATAACTCCCTTGGATTTCAACAAAACAGGATGAAATTTACGACATGGATAGGCACATAGAGCTCCTACATTATGATGCTATCAAAATTGAATGCAAGGCCATGCATGCGCGTATGCTGAATTCTGGTTGGCTAATACTTAAAGGGTTACATCTCTCTTATTTTTCAATGAGATTCTTTAATATTTAACACAAATGTATGTATTGTGAGACACTATAAGAAAATTAATGTGAAAAATGTAGAAAACATGTGCAAACACATGCGCTGAAATTTGATTGGCTAATACCCATATGGCCATATCGGAGTAGTTTTCCAATGAAATACCCTTAAAAATCCATCTATATTACAAAAGTATTGTCTAATTTATTGAAGCTTGTAGGGAATGGGGCATCACAAGGGATTGGGGAGCCGTTTGGGGAACATCTGTAACGGTTTCCGTTACAATTAGCACTAGTTTTTCATGCATTATACAATTGCAACTTGTACATGAATACCCTTTAGGAGTGCTTAAAACCATTCAGTTGTACTACATTATAAATGGCTTACCCACGCTGTATATATTTACATTATCTTTTCCACCACAGTACATATGTTCGTCACAAATAATATTACAAGGCTGTTGATTTTCTGCCAGTACGAAATTGGCGTTTTTTGGTAGGCATGCACATTTATTGTCCTGGAAAAAAAGAAAAAAAAATAGTACAATGCGTGGTAAACAATTATAGGTGTTAAAAGAATGATACATATCAAAGTTGAAAAGTCTCTTATTTAACATGTATAAGTTTGAGATAGATTTATTCAAAAGGCAATTCTCTCCTTTGTAACTGGGCATAAGTTTTTAATTAAAATTGTAATTGTTTGGGGTACTAGATTAAAATCCGCGTAGTTTTAGGGTAATAATACAAATACCGCTATCGCAAATGTAGGAAAAGTCCTACAGTGATACTGGCACTCTACTAACGATGAACTGTTCAAAGCAAAGAAATCCATATCTTCCATTGTCTCAACGCATCCTGAAAAAAAGGAAGTGTATCTTCAAAAAAGGGGCATAACATAAACTGCAAACATACAATAATGAAGTTTCATTTCTTTATGATTATTAATACAGTTATAATACTTTTGATTATCTAAGCAATATTTTAAAGAGAAATCATTTTAAGTATGGCTATCTTTTTTCATTTCATTTTTTTTTTTACATCTACAGTCCAAATAGGAAGTTAGTACATATACAATTGAAAAATTTTTCATTTAACTTCAGATGTTTTTTCTCGAAGCTTTCCCATTTGTCAATTGTTACGTATACAATTGTACAGATGCTCTTTACAATCCCAGAATTTCTATCCCTATTTTGTATTATTTTATCATATTTTATTTTTTCACCTTTTTACAAAATCGGTGCTTTCTACGCAAATCTTAATATCCACCCTTCCTGATACAAAAAAAACAACTGATGAAGTTATGAAATTTCTTCTTTTTTTTTTTTTTTTAGAAGTATATCGAATGCTTTTCAAGAAGAAAAGTACGATGTTTTGTCTTAATGGTGCCATTTGATTGATCGAGACTTAATTGATATAGAACAATTCTTTGTTCCATTTCATTACATACAGTTTTTCCATAATTCTAAAAATTGTCATTTCAAGAATATCAAGTTTTGTTGTTTTTTTTTGTTTTGTTTTTTTTTTTGTTTGTTTGTTTGTTTGTTTTTTTTCAAATTCAATCTGACCGTAAGCAGACACTAAATCAAACAAGTAACTTTTTGTGTGTTTAAAAAAAATCCTTATCAGCAAGTACGTAAAATCCTTACTCTTTGTTTTGTTGTTGTTGTTGTTGTTGTTTTTTCATTTAAATCAAAAAAGTTGATCGACTTACCAATAGGAGACAAATATGGAGTTGTATGACTGTAGGTACTTGTCCAAAATGCTTGAGAATCATTTTTAAGACAGCCTTGCAGCAAAGATTCAATATTATCATCGTCAAGGGGGGATAATTGTCCCCCTTTCTCTGCACAGAACTCCATTGCTTCAAACCAAGTTTTATTTTTGTCGACAAAAATAAATTGCTTTTCTGAAACTGATGAATACATTTTAAATGGCATAACTGTGTGTTTTACTATCAAAATAATTAAATGAACAGATTTGTAGGAAAGAAAAGGATTGGTTCAAAAATATATTTAATTGATCTTATGTTCATAATTTGTTATCAACAACAATCACATCTTAAATCCTTCTGAACAAGTTCTCTCTCTCTCTCTCCCTCTCTCTCTCTCTCTTACATATACTACATGTAACTTACCTGAATGTCCGAGGTGTGTCCCTTGGCAAAATATAATCACAAATATTGTGAAAAACATTATTAATGGAAATATAAGTAACAAGGATCAAGAGCCATTCACTTGAAAAAAATAAATTCCGTTTGAAAGGATACACTAACAAAACTTTAGTGTTAATTTAACACAGAGATCTCAATTTGTAAGTGTCATCATTCAGTCACGTATGTTTGAAAGAAGCCTCTATACACCTGCAATTTTAAAAGTTTGGAATCACTTATTTTAAAAAAGGAATTAAAATCACCGTGTAAATGAAAAACTCTCCTGAAATATACACTTTATCACCTGGCGACAGGTAACTAGTCACGGGAATTTCCCTTCTCCGTTTTTTTTTAATTCATAAAATAAAAGGTAGTGTAATTGTTTTACAGATCAGAAACGTGACCACAGACTATTTACAGCATTGTTTTATATGAACCATCTATCATAGTTACTTAAATAAAGTATGGACATCGTCGTGTTAAGAATCATCTTCCGTGCTCACGGGAAACCTGTCCCTGTTTAGCAATGACAAATACATCTACGTACTAGCAATTTTAGGTTCAATCTAAAGATGCCTCAAACATTTACTTTTTCGGACAGAGGTCTGAATCGAATTAACGATTTTTGAGATTTTATAAAAATAAAAATCTTAATCATTCATTTAAAAAATTAATGGGCTGAAAATGCATGTCTGGTTCCAGTACGTCTATACAAATCTTTTGTTTCATAAATGTGGGATTTTTATTGAAGTTGCAAATGGTGAAACAAATTGTTCATTGTTTATAATGGGATGTAAAGAAATATCACTTGATACATTCCATTCGATAGAGAAAAAAAAATAGCTCACTTGTTAAATTAATATAACTAAATAAATCACCATTCATAATTTTATCGAAGTTTTGAAGAGTGCTAACTATATTTCACAAAGTTAAAAAATCACAATCGTCTTTTTAGTCTGGCTGTGAAGGAGGAGGTAAATGCCATAGAGGTATCAATAATCTAACTGGGTTTTTTTTCTTTCAAAAATCTTGATGAACAAGGGGATTGGAGAAACTGTTCGTGTACGCGCGTCCTGCACTTGAATATAAGGAAATGACAACTAATGTCGACAACATGACTAAGAACATTGAAACCCTTGAAAAATCAGTATTACAAATCAAATTTACGATACGACTGTAGTGAAAGGTGCAAAAGAGCATTGCGTTACTTCGTCGAATAATGTGTGCTTTTATTTTGCTGTTGCTTTTTTTCCACTTGCTTTTTTTTTAATAATATAAAAATGGTGTGCAACATTATCTCTCTTTGTCCAAGCTCGGACCCCTCATTCGAAAAATGTGTATGCTCTTGTCATCGTACAATGGTTGTAGTCCGCAGTTGAATTAAAAACCGTTTCATTTTTTTTAATTTCATACATGATACTTACTCTCTATTTGTTTTCATTAAATAGGTAGGAAAAAAGTTTTATTTGTACACAGTCACTGTTCACCGGATTAAGGTGAAATATCCCTCTGCTCTAAATTTCATCAATTTTTTTTTTAATTCCCAACATTGATTTTCATCAACAACAATAGCATTATATTCAAATGGAAAATAGTTTGATGTAAGAAGCGTTGCTTACTTTCCCAGAAATTAATATTATGTCTAATTATGATATGAAGAAAAATTGAGATAGTGATAAGAAAGATCAATAATTCTTTTATCTCAAAATAAAATTAAAAATATGAGGTATATATATATGAAAATAATGTCTACTGTCAAACATATTTAATTTATATTAGAAAACATAATGAAGCGATGGTTTTTAAATCAGAATACCACATTGTTTTCTGTGCTTGTAAAAAAAATGCCTCAATCTACAAGAGTTATTTTTCCATCTGCAGGAGTTATCTTTCTTCAAAATATTTTTAAAAGAGAATTTTAAAAAATAATTTATTAATTAACTATAAAAATTCTGCATCTGATGCATGATAAATCCTGTAACAATTTTAAAAAATTATATCAAGAGATATAAATATCTCAATAACAACAGTTTAAAGAAACTGATTGCAAATGTTTAGGTTAACTAAATATAAGATTGGCAAAAGAAAATAGAAATCAATATTTGTAACATAATTCAGATTTGATTGAATTAACTGTATAATGATCCTCATTATTAAACTCTTGTAAGACAATTCATTGGATTTCTTGGAATAATTTCCTTGGAAAGTTATCTCTCTTATCAGCTTTCACTTTAAGGTATACATGTACTAAGAAGGTGAGGATATATCAATAAAATACAATCAATGAAAATCTTTATGTTCATTGTGATCAAACTACATATGATTATACATAACTAGAAAATTTGATTAAATGAAGGGAAATTTGGCAAACATTTTGCTTTGTTTAAAAAAAATTGAAAGTATCAATTGTTTCTGTAACAAATAAGAGAGAAAATGTATGGTTGTACCGGGAATCGAACCCGGGACTACTGCATAAATAGTGTCGTGTCTATTTTTGCTTGCTTATTGAACCTTTCGCAACTCGCTTGCAGTGAGGGACCCTTTTGAACCAGTCTCCTGTCCAGTACGGTTTAGGATGACTGTAAAATATATATAACCAGGGAAAGCGTAAATAAAAATAGCAATTGTTTATTTTATAACCATTATTTTCCTCCCTACTTAAATGTTTTCGCCCTCGAAGACACAGCCCAAGTTCTTATTGGGCCAAGGAAGGACTTTCACCTACAAATTTTGGGTTGGCAAACGGCGCCAAACACGAAAGAAGAAGATGAATTGCTGGATAGGGGGGAATCGAATCCAAGACCCCAGCATCACTAGTTACGTGCTCTACCTGCTGAGCTATGCGGGGAGGGGGAGGTATCTAATACATTATATTACTTTGTTGGAGAAGTATTGGTAATTGTATATAGAAAAGTGAAATTTACAATAAGGGCTTTGCATATACATCTTCTAAGCTTTTATATCAAAATCAGAAATGTTAATTCATGTATTTCTATAAACGATTGTCATGACCAGAATACGATATGAAATAAAAAAAAAATATTTCAACAAACATATAGAGAGAAACTCTTTTTTATCTACATAGTTGTGTTAAAGTTTCATAGTTTTTAGAGTTACTTTTTTGTAGGTATTTTTTTCAATTGATATTATATGATTTTAGCATTCTTTTTGTGGTCACCTACATATTTTTTACTATTCTGTAGACAAGATTTCTCGACAAAGTCGAGACAGGCTACTGACAATTAAGATGATGTTACAGTGATTTCAACAAACTCTTTAAAAGACAGAATTTCGTAAATTCCGTAATAGTTGTTCAAACACTTTTCCTGAAAATTATTCACTACAATTTTACCTCTGTTCTGAGCCATTTATTTAGCGTAAAAATCTATTCAATGTATTTTTTCTTACGATAAGCTTTACGAGATCGATCTATTGACATTGACACCTATGACGTTTCAGTACCACGTGACCCCTATCTAATTAGTGGAGATTATTACTTCGAGGACCCTATATTATCGTCTAACTACGGCCGTTTTAACTTCATTTCATAATTAAACGATAATTATATGTTTCAAGAATATAATAGTGTTTCATTTTTAAGAAATTTAGATAGTGATAAAAACCCTTTAAAATATGATATATAGAGAATACTACATACTAAAATCCGTATCATATGTCATATCAGCCCGAGTGGCCCCATATCAGCCCGAGGGCCGAAGGCCCGAGGGCTGATATGGGGCCCGAGGGCAGATATGACATACGATATGGATTTCAGTATGTAGTATTCTATTTATCATATATTTAAAATACTTAACATGCGAGTTCACATAAAATCATTGAAGAATGTTTCGTGCATGTTTATGACCTTTTTCTTTAAAATCTAATAAAGCAAATTTTAGGTCTTTGAAAACAATTTAAGTCCACAGATGTTAGTAAGGAATTATTTTACATGTATATTTAAAGAAAATCAAGTTAAATTACTTTTTAAACTTTAAACAAACGTTACTTCCGGTTTGATATATGGATTTTTGCCCGCCGGTCCGATACGTGATATGGATTTTCAGACCGGTCCTTGTTATGGGCTATTGTGACGTCACCCGTATCGCACAGTGCAGAATCCGTGTATTTACTACTAAGTATATGATAAATAGAGAATAATACATGGCAAAATATGTATCACACCCCATATCAACCCGAGACTCCAATATCAGCCCGAGGGCCGAAGGCCAGAGGGCTGATATTGGTCGAGGGTTGATATGGGGTGTGATACAGATTTTGCCTTGTATTGTTGTTTTTATTATATATTTGAAAATAGTGTCTAAAAATCATATATAAACTTGTAAATTAATTACTGAATTTTTAATAATTGAATGTGTTCTGTTTTTGTTGAATTTCCGTTTCTCAATCTTTTTTAAAGGCAAAAAAATGCATTCAGCGATAAGAAATGAAATTATTATAAATCAAACAAATTAATATTTTGAATAACATAAAATGTCTGATGAAATAAAATTACAATTTGAAAAACTTTGGAAAGAAATAGGAAAAGATCCGAGGTACTCCGAATGAAAAAAAACAGAGATGTTCCGGAAAGGTGTAATAAAGGGTGTGATAAAGGGTGAAATAAAGGGTGCTGATACAGGGTGTGTAATACAGGGCGCTTGCCTGTGTTTATAAATCCTGTATTCTGTATTATATAACAAATATATAATAAAACCAGATAATGACCTTACGCGTGATTTTGGTGACGTTTAACGTTACGCTTTAATAGCGCTTCGGAAGTATTGACGTAACGTTTCTAATAGTGCTACTAGCATGACTGGTGCCATATCGCTATCTCTTTGTACTTGCAATATGAGTAAATAAAATCATTGACTACTTGTAATTGAACAAATGAACAAAAAGGGCGCTTTGATTTGTGTATGATTAAGATTGTTAATTACTCAAACCACTTCTAAACGCATTTTCGTGCATTACGTTGAACCAAATCAAATTATGCGTCAAGAACTGTCCACTGGACAAATATGTTGAACCTCCTAAATGTTGCATAAAATATTAATTGAGTAAATT